ATTCGCACTATTTAACATTTAATGTTGCAGAGCCTTGCTGGCATTTGTCGTGCGTTGGGGTCTGTTTTTTTGTAGCTGTTTAAAGCAGGCAAGCTTTCATTAATCTCTCTTCTGCCTTAATTGTAAATCCAGTTCAATCTACTGTGGCCTTGACTTTCAGTTTTAGTCTGTATCTAGAGTGCAGTGATGTGTGTACTGGTGAAGGGGCAATGTAGAAAGTATTTCCATACATTTACATTTTAAAGTGGAAACCTGCACAAACCACAGCATCTGTGTGAGTCATTGCTTGTGTAGAAGTGCTGTAACCTCTCATCATTGTTGCTGTTGACCTCATCGTTTTTTATTACATCCCGAATGGGAAGATTTATTGCAGTATACTTCTTTTATTTATGCATCAAAAGCCATGGATGGCAAAAACGACACACCGCAAACGCACTTAATGGTTCAGCACACTCACAATATTAAACTAAAGCAGAGCACTACAGCACAGCACATTGTTTTTATCTAATGCTATATTTCTCCTTTTGAAACCTGATGTTAAGTGGCAGAGATGTGTGGAATTATAAAATTGATTATGAATCAACAGTGTAATAACCATGCCTGGGTTACTGATTAGTCAAGGGAGACAGGCTGGTGTTCCTGATCTTATACTGTAAAGAGTCAGTGAATGTTCAGTGCACAGTGATGGGGAAATGAAAACAACTGCATTGTGTTGAGGGATGCACTGTGTGCTGTGCCATGAGTTTTATTTCCTTTCCGTTAGCACACCGGCAGTGCTTTTTTTTCTAAGAAGGAAAATAAAGGCTGTAACTTATCATTGTAAATGTTTGCCACCAAGGCTGTGCCTGCTGTTAGGCAAGATCCAGGATAATCTCTGCTATCACGTTCAGGAGTAGGCATGTGATTAAGAATGCAGATTTAAACTGGAATAATTTAGGGATCATTCTTATGGAGTCTATCTGATTATGTCCATACTGTAGCAGACCTATTTTTGTTTTACAAAACTACATTTCTGCAAACATAAGAAAATGTTTCAACTAGAACAGCTTCACATTGTAAGACCACAAATGCATTATTGGAACTGTAACCTTATAAATTTGTGATTTATCATTTTTATACAGTACTGAATGTTTTATCTTGATATTATTTGTCGCTGTATGGTTGTATTACAAAGTAATTTAACATCACTAATGACTCACTTCTACTGTAATGCACATATTGTCAAAATTTAATCGCATTTGAGCAGAACAGCTGAACAATTGAATGGAACGGTGCACATGCCAGGAATTAAATATTTTTTTCTTCCCCTGGATGTAAATGTATCTAGTGATTTAAATGGTATGAATCTGTGTTATGAGTCTGGCTTTCCTCTATGTGGACAACTACAACCCTGGGAACATTTCAGCTGCAGACTGAACCACTGTGAAGATGACTTTTTTGTGGGACTTCATGATGCAGTACTAATAAGTACATAAAAATGCCACATTCATTCTGTCTGCAATCCTAGTTTGAAGTGTACAGAAAGAGACACACAGATTCAGTTGAGGACGTAGTCATGCCATAGGTAATTCACCTTTCATTAAAGCAAAACTGTTTTGAAGACTGAGGTTGAAGAACCACCTTTCAGGAACTTGAGAGCATAAAAGTTCTATGAATCATTTGAATAGATTTACAACATATTTGCTGGCTGTTTACAATATTCTGGCTGTTTGTGAATGTGAGGAGACATTCTGGTAGTCTTTTATTGTCATTCCAGCTCAGTCAATAACATTAGTACCGGTTGTAATACCATTTTACAAAGTGTATACTATTGTGTTAAGCTATAATGAACTGCATAGCAAATCTTGTATGTATTGTTTTTGTAATTATGTAAGGCTTATGTTAATCATATTGTATACTAAGTTAGAAAAATGAAATCTAGGTTAGCTCTGGCCCTGAGGTGAAGAGCACTAATTTTATTCTCTTCGGGGAAAATGACTAAAATGTTTTGTGGAGTGCTGAAAACACTGATTGATTGAATGTTCTGGAAAAGACTGTAGTAGCCTTTTTTTATTAGCATTCGGAGAGAAATAGTTATATAACTGGACAAATAAAAATACAGTAACTGCAAGTGAAATAGGTTTCAAAGCTATGTTTTTTTTTGTAGACAGTGCATAACACCCTCTTAAGATGGGTGACAAGAATTTCATAACAGAAATTGTACTCTTTTGAAGGTCGAACACAATTCCTGAGTTTTTCTGGGCTTTTGTTTGTTTCATGGCTGTTGTGGGTCATCTATTCAAATTCTTTACTGATACTTGGGAACAAACTGTTTTCCCGATTTAACATTTCTGCTGTTTCTTGTGATCTCGTTTCATGTACATTACAAGAGTGGTGCATAAAGGTATGATATTTAACAGGTTTTCATTATTTTTCATTGAAATCTTCACATCTTTAGGTGTCACTCGTGTGAGGGGGGTAGGAAACTAATTTAACCTAAGGATTTTAACCATCCTTAAAGTAACTATCAAATATGTTTTTGCCTCATTCCTGTTAATTAGGTAATCATGTGGTGTCACAGAGCATTTACAACACTAGTATAAGACATTCCTGCCAGAGGTACAGAGCAGCACAAACACCTCTCTCAGGAAGTCATTGGACTCAGCAGCTGGACTTCATAGCCTTGATTGTTGATGCCTGCCTCACAATATCATAACGGGCACTAAAATTGATGTGAGTAAGGAGCTACATCAATGTGCGATCTGCAAAGGAACAAGCAGATATTAATTTCATGCTGAAATGTAGAAAGAGACAAAATGGACCATGTTGCTTTCTTGAGGTCTGTGGTTACACACAGTTACACTGTGTTGCTCAGTTGCACATACCTAAAGTCCCCCTAGCTGAACTGTTTCACCTGTGTGCCATCATACAGATTTTTGCTTCATGTGAATTTCTGTCCTGTGCGTCGTTTGTATATATTAATTTGCTGCCTGTCCGTTTTCCCTTGTGCAAAGGCTAATTTTGGAATAGGAACACCCTCCAAATAAGTCTTTAAATGCTTAGCTGCTCTGAGCTTTATTTGATTTATGTTTCATTTTCTATTCCTCTATATTATGTCAACTAAACTTAGAATAGGCAAAAATATATTTTCTACCTTAGATTTTGCAGCAGGTGTCTCATTGTGCAGTGGAACTGCTCTTTCATGTTATGTGAACACTGAGGCCAGCATATGTCAGCCTTGAGAGAATTAATAAAACTGTGACTGTATTCCATGGATCTCTGTGGAGATTCATTTTATGAGGCTGTTGTGCTTCTCATGTGAAATGCATTATATTTAAAAACACATTTGACCTAGAAGCAGCGACGGTTGTCAGGTAGACCACACAATGAGCCAGGCATAAGTGCTTTTCAGATTTGTAGCATCAGAATCTAAAGCCCATTGTTTCCACATTCCATCATCTGCATTTTCTTTCTGGCACTTAAGTTTTCTCATAGCGTTCTCATGTGGTGAGCCCAATGCATCTGATGTCTCCATTGCAAAAGCTCTAAATTTCCTTTTTCTTCTTTGTATAACCACAAATTTCTTATGGCTGTAACATATTAAACAGTGCATTAATCAACCTTTGATTTTGGCCCCACACCTGATTGCTCAACTCCAGTGGTGCTTGCTCCCTGGAATCTCCCAGCCAGTCATGTCTTGGCATACTCCAAATGTGAGGGCTGAGGTTTCGTTATTAGGGAGCATCAAGTGAAAAGATGCCATTCCTATATATATTGTACAGAAGTGCAGTTGATCTTGGGCTTTCATCCATATTAATTTAGCAATGTCTACTAATCATAGCCTAAAAAGTGTTTGTTTTTACAACCAATTCATTAGTTCTGTCCTTTAGGAAAAAAAAAAAAGTTATTCAGAAAAACCCTTTAGCAGTACTACACTGATTTTTATACTAGGCAAATAAAAACATAGATCATAATTCTTAAAGCATAATCTGAAATTATGTATTTTAGTGGGAACTGCAAATTTTTCAGCCTCCCTCAGTGAATTAGCCTTATCTGGATGTACAGTAGTGTCATTTAAACTGCCCATCTTCTATTCCAATTATTTTGTTCTGAAGAAAAATCTGTTTAATATTATCAAAACCTGAATAATTTATCCAGTGGATAACTGCCACCAAAGGCTTTTTGCTTCCTTGCCCCTTGTCTTTGATCACGTTTTGACCTTGCTGTCTTAAATTAATCTTGTTCATTTCTCAGTAAATGAAGGTCTCTTTGGAGCTTGTAGCAGTGAATTGTATTTCAAATATATAACAAAGAGAGTGAGATTTTTCAGAAATTATGCTACTGTACTTTGTTTTGATCTTCACTCAACATGTCTTCTGAACTTGAGTAGCTTTTCTCTTATCATGCTGGATGCAAATATAAAAATATAAAGATGTCATTAGTACATGGAATGGAATTTTCAAAATCCTTGTCATAACGTTAATAAATATTGCAATACTCAATCTCAATAAATGTTGTCAGCCATCTTTTATTACAATTATTTTTACTTCTGGATTTGTAGGCCTTGTCGGATGAAGATAAAAGAATTATAGATTGTTGTGACAGAGAAGGATCACACAGGAGAAGACTAAATTGCATTGTCATTTAAAATGTTTAGAATTTTGTTTGTCTTTTCTGGCTAGAACATTCACATATGTACACTATACAGCTTAGTATTAATTAAATACTATCATATAACACTTCGATTCGAGTGTATAAAATACAAGGCCATTATTATCTGAATCTAAGAATCTGGTTCAGATGTTCTCAGCTGCACCATGCTGTAGTAAGATTTGATCAGTCTGTATGCTGATAACTATGAGCATTATTAATTTCCCAAGTGAAGACAAATTTCAATGCATTCATGTATTTCTTGTTGAAGAAAACTGTCTATTATTGTAATATTATTTATTACTAATCTTTTCACTTTTCAGTGTGGATCAGAGGTTTCTTTTCCTTAATGTACTCCCTTGTTTTAACAGGTATTTTAGCAGCGCTAAACATCAGCTATGAAGAGCTTAACAACTGTGAATACCAAGTAGACCTGGAAAGAAATATCTGATGCACATTTTAAAAGGTATACCAATTGATTTTAACCCTTATTTTTTATAATTTTGTATCCCAGCAGATTTTACTATTTATTTTTAGTCTGAAATGCTTCTTGCTATTACAAATGTATGTATATTGCTTCTTATCACCATCTACATCTTTAAATCCTTTCTAGTTTAGTTTTAAAAAGATAACAGCAATATACTAAATCCTGGAATTTGTTTTAATACTAAATGAAACCTATAAATTCTATTTTAGGTTATGCTTATTTGTTTGAAGACTGGTAACACATTGAAAATGTAAAGGCATAGTTTTAATGTTCTTTTACTTGTACTTAAACAACACATACTGTACTCATTTAATATACAAATTGAAAGTATTTTGTGAAACAGATTTTTATCAATTAAAATAGGGACAGAAAGGTTGTGATTTTTCCTGTTGCAGCATGTTGGAGTTCTTTGGAAAATGTTGCAATGAGCAATGTAGGATGCTGAATCACTAGATGCCTGTTAAGTTTCTAACCAAAGTTTATATATTTCACAAGGCATTAAGAGGGCACCATTATTTGAATAATTTATATTTAAAGCTATACTATACTTTGTACTAAAAATGCTATACAATATGCTATCCAGTTTCTGTTTGATATTGTTTTCTGTTTATTTTTCTCCAAATTAATTGTATTGTGTTAAAGGCTTGGTTGAAATTTAAAATTCAAAGAATGTCAAAGAGTTTATAATCCAAAACCTTTTTAGACTAACATATATTAATTAGTTTGACAGCTGTTAAATCTTATTCTTGCAAATAATTTGAGTAGTATGTTCTGATTCATGGTCTCCATCTGAGGCTTTAACACATTCTTTTTTTAAAATTGGAGTGGGCTTTAAGGAAGTGAACAGATATTGTGAAGAGGAACTACAATATAATTTCTTCTACCTTATGTTTGATTTCTTGAGCTGTACTTTAATTGTCACACTTTAACTACAAGACAACTTTAATTGAGATGTGTATGAGACGCTCCTGTGTAAATGAGCCCTGTAAAGACTTCCATAACCATAGACCTCAGTGTGTATATAATGCTTAATTTAGATCTGTGGTAGGCTTTTTCATATAAACATATTGGAAAATAAATTAGCTATGGGAGGATAATTAGTTTTGGGTACTTTACAGCTTAGTAGTTCAGCAACGTGCAAAGAGTGGTCAGAGAGCATTAATTAGCTAGTTTGTTCACTTCTTGTATTTAAATTAACCTAATATTCTTATCTTATACTTTTAAATCAAGAAAAATGTATACCTTTTCTTTAGAATTGCACATTTAAGGATTGGTATGCATGTAATTTTGATCTGAAAATAACATGGCTGAAATTAAATTTTTAGCAGCCTTGTTGTTACACCAAAAATGGACTTTATTGCATCATTTAATTGATTCTGAAGAGCAAAAAAGATGAAGATTCCCCTGTGTCCACATGTGACTTATTGAGCATTTTCTTAAGCACTACATTTCAGCTTGACCCCCTTTTTTAATCCTTAGTTATTTTTACTGTGAAATCTCTCCTTCACTGTTAAAATGTAGCACTTCCATCCTTTCATCCAGGGGGAAACATATGAGTTTGAGCAAGCTCGTTTGTCATGTTGTACTGTAGTTAAAATGGTTGCAAAAATGAGAATGATGCAATATCAAGCCATACTGATTCTTCGGCTCTGAAGTAACAAAATTGCTAGTAAAGACATGCATAAGGAGGTTATGTTGCAGCCTGTTTGCGGTGATTTATTGAAGTTATAAGGTAATGATGGTGTCACAACCCGCCAGGTATGGTATAGAATTATTTAAGTTCAAGTAGGGAGCTGCGTCAGCATGCATAGGCTACAAAGGAACAGGTAAATGCTTATTCCATGCTGAAATGAAAAGAGACATTGCGTTTCAGCTGTGGAGCCCTGTGGAGCTTTTACACACCTGAATATGGCTTCCATAGAATTATTTATATATGTATAAGCTTACAACAAGGAGATCCTGGACATTAATATGCAACTTTTTGCTTTTTACCTGAAATCAGGTACTTAACAGCAGTATTTGTTGCAATTAAAGTTACATGTAGATTTTTTTTAGAAGAAAACATTTGGTTTTACACACTATTTTTGAAAAGCATCAGCTGGAATAGAGTCAAAGATTTTAAACATTCTGATTTAAGAATGAGATACATAAGTCTTAATAGACTGTTTCTTTTACTGTATTATGTAAATTCTTACAGGTTTCTGCCACTGTCTTTAAGGTTCTGAGACAAATCTAATCTGCTCTTGTTTTGTGCTAGAATTCTGATTAATATTTTTCTACATTTTTAGTTTGAAATAATGGAAGGATATCTTTAAAATAGTTGGAAGCTTTCTCTTTGAGTCAGTCAATGGTAAAGAATTTTAATTTTTGAGGAAACTTGCAATGAATATAATTGGACTGCCAAATTAAGAAGTTGAATATTCCAACAAATGTAAACTACTGCTGTTACTGTTAGTATGAGGCCTTGAGAGAAGATCATATATTTGTTGATATTCAAATACGGTCAATTTTAATTACACTCGTAACTTTTTGGATGGAATTCAGTTGCTTCCAAGTTCTTACGATGTGAGATTAGTCTAGTCTTTGTACGGATAGGAACCACCAAGATAGAGAGTACTTAAGTCTCTATTTGTGCAACTGCACTGGGTGCAGTGACAGATGGAGGATATATCATCAGTCAGGAACCAGTTGCTGTATTACACACCATGTCAGCTCTTGTGAGTTATATTGATGAGCAAACACTGCTAGACAATGAGCTTGTGTCTTATGATCTCCTTTGTCATTGTGGTCATGCAAAAAAAAAATAATGATATGTTTTTCTGATTACAGTAGCAAAAAAGTTTCACTTCAAACATCCTTCACTTCAGTGACCCTTAATTGGGGAGTTGTATAATATCATTTCAGTGCATTTCTAGAAAAGTGCATGGAAAATTAGGAGAACAGTTGGGAAATAAGAAAGGTTATTGTGAACTGTTTTTGTGCCTTAATGCTAATCTAAGTGCATTTGGGAAGAAACATAATGGAAGTATAGGTTTCCTCCAAGAACAATGATGTGATTTAGGACTTTTGAGTAAGTTTGCATGGTGCTTTATGTGGTTATTAGATGTCTGCACCCATCAGGAACAGTCAGCTTATGAATATTTGGTAGTTGTTAATTAGCTTTTGTAACGGTGTGTTGCCTTGTGAATTTTTTGTCCCGCTTTATCATGCTTTTAATATTTTTTTCAGGTACTGATTGTCAATGCCAGTTTTTGTCGATGAAGGAAAAAAGTGATTGGAAATCAGAGGTAGTGTTTTGGTCATAATGCCATCGTCGACGCGAAAAGGCGTAATAAAGGACCAAGAGTTTGCTGAACTTTTTTTTAAAGAAGACCCTGAGGAGCTTTTCTGTGATTTGCATGAAATTGGCCATGGAAGTTTTGGGGCAGTTTACTTTGTGAGTATAGAAAACAATCACTTTAAATGAATAATTATGGAATGCTGGCAAGATTGTGTACTGTGTTTTGGAAATGCATTTTGAAAATTGAAGGAAATGCTGTTTGTGTAGAAGAAGAAAAAATCTTATCTTTAAAATCATTATCACCTTAAGTTTATTATTGTACAGCCTGAATACAACATCCGTGTACCCTTAACTGTGAGACCTTTTTTGTAAATGGAAATCTTTAGAAAGTCATCAAGTAAAATTTTAAACAAAACACAAAGGCAGGTTTCCTAGTGAGAGACCGATGATAGTTTGTAAGTGCAAACTATTTCTCTTTAATTTGGAAAATGTATATACAAAAAAACTAAATAGATTTAAAATGTAATTGGACCTCATGCCTCAATACTTTAAAATGCTCGTAAATGCTTGGGAGTTTTTCTAGAAAGCACCATTTGTAAGTAAATCGTTGCATCCATTTTTAGGATGAATGTGCTAAGGATTTATGTAAAGAAAATCTCACCAGCTAGACTATGGAACAAGAGACAAAGCTATAGCCACATTAAAATTAGATTGACAAGACAGAAACTGTTCTGTGTTTAGGTCAATTAGAAGTATATTACAATTAGTATGTAATTAAAGATTTACCTCGATGCCTTTGGATGTCATACCACGTTTTTAATAACCCATTGCACACATGGTTACCCCCAGGGCGTTTACTTTGGTGAGAATGTTATGTTGGATGTTTTTTTTGCTCCCTTCCCATTGCAGTTTTTGACAGCAGTGTTCACATTGTATGATGACCTGTACAAAGACTTTCAGTATTTCTCTTTCACCAGCTTTCGCTGCCATCACATATTTTGTCTTGCTAGTCAGCTGTCTTTCCATTTTACTAACATCTTGCTGGAGAACAGGATGTCTGTTTCTCATCCTATTTCTTTGCTCCCGTGTTTAGCACCTGTCATTATTTGCCATCATGTAATGATGTAATTAGAGTGTAGTGCCACTTTATACCCACTGTCTTCATTTACATTTTATTGCATACTGTAACATTATTCTAAACTGTTGGTGAGCTGATTTATAGCTGCCGTTCTTCTTTTAATACATGAGGCTTTCTCTACAAAGCCCTGGAAATAGTGTTTGAATATTATTATGAATGTACATCTACATGAGCCATAAGACACAAGTGGAAACCATGGGAAATTCCATTTAAAACTGCGATCAGGCACAATTTACACACGAGGTTATGGGAGTCTGGAATTAGCTACCCAGTCATGCTGTCAAAGCTTATAACCTGGCTTCTCTCAAGAAACAGCTGGATAAGATTAGCTGGTGAAAAAACAAAAACAAATGAGTGGCATGGGCTGAATGTCCTCATCTTGTTAGTAACAATTATGTTCTTCTGTGAGTGCATTCTCCTTAACGGGGAATACATTGTACAATTTGGATCAGTCTAGCAAAATGTGACTTAAGGTTCTTGTCAGCTTTTTCTCCAACACTTCATTTCTTCTTAATTTTAAACTTGTGCTATTTCTTCATCTTTAAGCGAACATACAAAGCTTGTGAATCCTTTGCTAACCAATGATATAAATCAGTAGTAAAGCTAGAATCACTTGGCACAGGTTGTTTTGACTCTCCAGATGTGTGGGTCAGAAAAAAATGCTTTTTTGATAAAACGGCTGTATGTAGTCTTTACTGAGACAGCTGGCGAGAGCAAGACTGAATTTGTGGGGTGTGTTTGAAAACACATCCAAGTAATGGACATTGTTACAGACATGTCTGCAAGAGATCTCTTGATCTTACTGTGATGCTAAACACTGCCAATGTTGTTACAGGCCAGAAATTCTCGCTCAAATGAGGTTGTCGCAATCAAAAAGATGTCCTATAATGGGAAACAAACAACAGAGGTAAGCTGACATGTTAAACTTTCATTGAGTGACCTTGTATCTCTAAGACGCTTTTGTTAAATGAAATGTGATTATAACAGCAGGTACCAAAAACATGAAAGTAGATAACCTTAAAAGATTAAACACGCTTGGAATAATTTTGGTTTGACAAGTTAAACTATGATTAAGTAGGTTACATATCATTTCAAATTGCCAGCACCTTGGTGCTCTGAAGGACCACTAACCACGTGGCTGTTCCTAACTTCATTAAACCAATTAAATCTTGTGTGTTTTAAGTCTTTACATATTGATAACGTAAGTGACCGCTTTCTGCTGTGAATTTTTGAATCGTGGTAGAATTTAAGTATTTTACTTCATCCAGATTTTGTCAAATATCTAGTACTGTATTTCACATATGCACATCATCCCCCTTTTCTGTTGGCATTTCTAGTCTGTTTTCTGTTGTTTTTTAACAGATAAGTCTTCTTTCTCAATACTGCTCTCATACTAAAATGTCTTCTGACTTGTATAATGAGAAGGCCATCTCACAAATGTCTTTTCACTTTTAGAAATGGCAGGACATCATCAAAGAAGTCAAGTTTTTACAACAGCTGCGACATCCCAACACCATTGAATACAAAGGCTGCTACCTGAAAGACAACACTGCCTGGGTTTGTAGACTGTGATTTTCACCTCTAGCAATGGAGTGCAGGTGTAATACCTTTATCAGGGTGTCAACATTCAGAAATCCACGGAGGGATATATAAAAAGGGTTTTTACTATGTATTTTGCATGCTGCTTTGTAAAGCAAAAATGTGGGCTGTTAATATAAACAAATCTCTACACATCATAAGAACTTCCTTTTCATTTCATTTGCTCATTCTGCCTTGGCAAATTTTATCTAGTGAAACAGTGTTTCTTTACTAAGTAAGATACAACCTGCATTTTGTCAGAAAGATGAGACAGGATGTTCTCGCCATTGTAACCCTTAATTCTTCAGTATGGTTTTAAGATACTTTGAATTTCATAAAATGTACTTCTTTGTTTTAAATTGGAAGGATCTTTTCATCTTTGTTTTGATTAAATGCCCTCTGGTCCAAACCCTTAAAAAGGAAACCATGATTTGATTATTCAGCTGTTTTTTATCTGGTCATCTCTGTTTCTTTTAGTTGGTCATGGAGTACTGCCTAGGTTCAGCTTCAGACTTGTTAGAAGGTAAGTATTTTTAGAAATTAAATACTATTAAAAGTAAGCAGTGGCCTTAGATTATGTGTGCAGTACTTGCAGGACTGGACTGTCATAACATGAAATTCATGCCTAAAGGAACTTCTCTGATTTTTTTTTCTTAAACATAAATAACCTTGACCTTGAAAATGCAGCACCTATTTTTTTGTTTTTCAGACTTGTAATTCGTGTTACAATAATTGTTGTATGCAAATAACTAACACTTTTTTAAAGTTCTCTAGACAGAATGTCTTCAATTCCTGATATGAGCTTCCTTTCTCACTCAAGCCAAGTTATGTGGTACATACGATCCCATAGCCTTATCTTGATACTACAGACAACAGTTCCACCTTTTGTATTTCATTACAATATACAGTTAATTCTGTATATACTGATGCATCTGAAGGCTTTCATATGAATGAATTCATTGATCTCTGATTAAAAAAATAAGTGATTTTTTTTCTTTTGTGAAATAGTTCACAAGAAGCCACTTCAAGAAGTTGAAATTGCTGCCATTACCCACGGTGCCTTGCAAGGACTGGCTTACCTACATTCCCATAACATGATTCACAGGTGAGCTGGAGCCTTGCAGACGTCTCATTAGTTCCCTTAACGCGTTGCACAGATTGGAAACGCACTGAATTACTCATAATTTTTAAAGAAGTGATTGCTTTAAGGGAATTTTCTTCCCTTTTTTTACAAAATGGAGCACAAAGTAGCCTTTCAATGCAGTCCTTGAATTCGGTGCCATCCCGGTAATCACTGGGTAACGAATGCAGTATGCAAAACAACAGCATGTACTTTTTTGTTTTACACACTCGTGTTGTTTTATTTCCTGCTTTAGAAAAATGTCATTTCAAAAAGGTGCCAATGACTTGGTTAAAAAAAATGTATTATTTAGTTTCTGAGTAAGTTGCATTACTTCCCTAAATCATCCAGTCAGGACTTTTTCATGAACAAAACATGAGTAGTTAACAATTGATGAAGCAGAATATATATCTGGATTTATTTTTGTTTCCTTAGGGATGTTAAAGCTGGAAATATTCTACTGACAGAGCCTGGTCAGGTCAAACTGGCAGACTTTGGGTCTGCTTCAGTAGCTTCCCCTGCCAATTCCTTTGTGGGAACACCTTACTGGTGAGCACACACAGCCTTTCCCAGTGAAAATGCCTCGGGAAGAGATCCGAAAAAGGAGATGAACGGTGGCTGAAACTCATGTTCTTTCAATTAGACTTCAAAACGTTTCCGAGATGTTAGATGACGGCCGCCTCCACATTAAATAACGTTCACTATTCTTTGTTCCTTAAAAAATAAAATGGTGACTCATGTTTGAATGATAAAGATTTCAAGGAAAACCTTTTGAAATGTTTTAGTGCATTGTAGATGTTTTGATTTGAAAGAAACAAGGAGCCACCTAAAAAAAACGCAGTGTTTTTCACCTGCGGAATCAAATTGAATTTCTTCGATGGGCCGGTTACATTCTCGGAAGCCTGACCCATGCTGTTCAGATGTGTTTTTTGTTTAAAATTGAGAAGTCGGATCAAACCCTTTCAATAATGTTACTGTACTACTTAGTAGCAAATGTGTTTGTAACTATCATGTGCCTTAAAATTTTCATGGTAGATTATTGAAAGAAAACCGAAACTTAACAATGTGTTTTATATACTAGTCGGATTTTCCTGAAACGTTTGCCTTGCAGACAGTGTTGAAAGCGTTGTTTGTATGACAGGATGGCCCCAGAAGTAATCCTTGCCATGGATGAGGGGCAGTATGAGGGAAAGGTGGATGTGTGGTCCCTTGGAATCACCTGTATAGAGCTGGGTAAGTATCACTTATTGGACCATTGATTTCAGATGTAGTCACAAAGCAGCTTGCACATGGCCTTAGAACTTGTGGGAGGGGTCCCATTGTAATTCTATGGTTATGTGTTAAGCTTCTGTCTACACCGTCCCATTCCCTTAACCCTAAAAACAATAGTGTGAAGAGGATCCCCTTTTTTAGAAAAATGGGCGTTTTACTCTTTGGGGGGGAAAGAGATGCAGACACTCCTTTCATTACAGTGTTTTCTGATGCCCCGGATAAGACAGTTTGAGTTTCTAACACTCATGTTGGCATCAACAATAGCGGGAGACCTGGAAGGGTACAAGACTAAAACTCATATTTGGCTAAAAGTGATGCACATGAATTCATGAATCCCTGAATTACAGGTCAAGAATTTTCTTCTTTTTTTGGATTGTTAGTTTTCCCAAATTTCACAGAGCAGTTAAAAGCAGATACATTTTAATAGTGTTGACGTCAAAAAGCAAGTCAACACATAACTGGGTAGTAAATGACACGCATGGATTATAGAGGTGATTTTGATAATTGGATATTGTGTTATGATTACATTATTGTCTGGCTAATTAAGCAATGACACAAGAGATTAGTTAACCTTATAGACTGAGGTGGAAATCTCCTTTCTTTCTTCTCTAGCTGAGCGCAAGCCTCCACTCTTCAACATGAATGCCATGAGTGCCTTATATCACATAGCCCAGAATGATTCCCCAACACTGCAGTCCACTGAATGGTAAGTTCTTTGCATTTGAATCTGAAGTGCCTGGTAAGATTTTGGTTAAAGGATTTAAATTTCTTTTATAATTCCAGGAATAGCTGTTACATATGTGAAAGTTTTGAATTATTTTGGTATCTTTTGTTTCCCTCAGATGTGCACAATGTTGACCAATTTTAACATGTTTTTTGTCTGAAAAAAGCTTTAAAGAGTTTGCATATAATATCTCTAAAATATGGATGTTTTAACCACATTGTAACAGTGGTTTTCAGGCTTTTCCTTAGCCATCTGATTTCATGTCCCTTACATTAAATGTTTTTCATTTCAAGGTCGGATCCCTTTAGAAGTTTTGTGGATTACTGCCTACTGAAAATTCCTCAGGACAGACCGTCATCTGCTGAGTTACTACAGGTAAGGCTTTTTAATCTTGAAAGCAGTAACTTCTGTGAAGAGTGACTGTTTATGCCAAAGTGATGCAGGATACAGTACATAGTAAACTTGTTTCATACAGCTTTTAGAATTTGTGTTGCAGTACGGTAATCAAGAAAGTCCCGATATTAGTTTCTGAGATTGCATAAATCACTGGATTAACCAAAATCTTTGCTATTGCCAAAGCTGTTTTCTATGAAAAACTTTTTAGTCATGTACTAAAAAAAGCCTTTAAAATGCTATTCTCTGTAGGGCAAAATAAACAGGTATGGCCTGACTTTTCATTTGCTTGTCCACCCTGTCTCTGATTTATATGTTCCTGTTTAGGGGCTTAAACAGATTTTGTTTGAGGAATGTAAAAAGGGCGTATAGATTTTGCAGGTACGATTCCTGAAGTCGGTTTCCTGCAGCTGTACAGATAGTGTTCATGCAGTCTTCCTCATGGCATACCTGTGCCTTGTATCCCAACTTGTCTCTGTCATCTGCAAATGAGGGAAACGCAAAACTAGCACCAAATTTGACCACTTACACTCTCAGCATTGCTAATCTCTCTGTCTGTTGTGCACGTGCAGTGGTTAGTTGAGCTTTTTGTTTTGAAGCTGGCAGGTAATCCTAATCACCTTTAATAGTTTTATGTTCACACTGTATTGGTCAACACGAGCTTTCTAGTGTCATGCTACAGTCAGGCCATGGAATTCATCTACTAATGTGCAGTAATGTAACGGGGAGGGAAGGGTTTGATCCTGGAGGATGTTGGATTTACCACCGATTCCCCTCTGATGGGCAAGCAAACACAATGTCAGGTCAAGAGGCGTTTCTAAAACTGAATTGCTAAACCGGTTTTTGTATTGGAGGCTTTATTTTTGTTCTCTTCTTGGCTGTTGTGGGATCTGCTGGCAATTCATCCTACCTTCCTCAAAATTAAACTGTAGAGCTCAAGGCCACTTCAAGGTTTTTATTTTAATTCCCTCTTTATTGTTGCTGTATATAATCCAAATTATTTACTGTAATTATTACATTTTCTCAAGTTGCATTCAGAACTAGGCCATAAGCGCCACCTTGTGGAAATTCAAATGAATCTATTAGTTTATGGCACTTGTGTAAAGGGCCCTTAACATTTAAGGAACATTACCAGACTGCTTTTTTCTTTTAAATCTGTTATCTGTCCTTTCTGTTACACCTTTATTGTAGTGATTTGTTTGCTGACCTTCATGTGTCAAAATTAAATTGGAATTAACTGGTTCAAAATACAACCACAAGAAAGCATGGCAGAAAACTGCAATAGCAGAAAAAAAAACTTTTTTGCTTACTGGCTTATGTTGAGGACCCTTATACTTCAAAGTATAGCCCTTGGGCTGTGCCCAAATGCCTGTTGGCTCCCCAGAGGGAGTAGGGGCTTCTTATCATTCCTTATCATGGGCTGACCCATCTGTTTTACCATTCCAACCTAAACATTTCAGGGTCAGAATGTTAGCAGAAGAAATCTTTTTAAATTCTGCACTTCAAAAGTAATTTTCTTTAGCATATTCTTCAGCTTGATCTTATCTTTAGGTTAGATCCCTTTTTCAGGCCATAAAGGCCCTCGGGGGAATGGGAGGCAAGGGCCACCCTTTTTCTCAACCATCCGTCACCGGAGGTGGAGGTGATGTGGTCAGCATCACGCTCTGGATGGCCTATTACCCCTGGGAGGTACTCATTTGGAAAGCAGGCTGATAGGACCTGGGATCCGTCTGGGAGGAATTAGAGCAAGCTACATTGTTTGCCCCTACCTGGGATTGATCCCGGGACCTTCCGGTCAGGAGCTAGATGCCCTTGCCATCTGATCTACCACGGCTCCGATCTTATCTTTATCTTCTTTTAATCTTTTTTACGAGTTAATATTGTACAGTGCCCTGGGATTCCAAACAGGAAGAGCACAGTTGTAGTGCATCATTTGCAGAAAGTGCAACAGGCTTTTGCAACCAAATTTCATAGCTATGTTCCAATTTATATATTTTTTTAGAAACTCTTTTCATTTTTGCATAGCTGGTCGATGGTTTTTGTTGTTGTTGTTGTTGTCCTCACTTTTTTGTAAAAGTTTATATTAATTTTAGACTTAATAGAAAAACAAAAGCATTTAAAATAGTCTGGCTATTTAATATATGAGAATTATGAGTCTTGAGTTTAGAAGACAAGGGCATAATTTTAAGAGACAGTCTAAAAGTAGGTGTATTTGACTGAGCCTGTAGTTAGTAGTTTGTTTTTGTACTGGTAGCACATGGTGCAGTTTTTAAGACACTGAACTCATGCATTTAGACATTAAACCCTTGCAGTGTTAAAGTAAAATGTTGGGCCTAGTAGATTAGCATGCCCCTACAAATAGGTTTTTGCAAAGGATGGAAGAATTTATAGAGTTCAGGTTAAAATGGCACTTTCTTCGATGGGTATTTTTGGGTATTTAGAAGCTTACTCATGTAACTAGGAGACCAGTCTTCTCTCTTCCCAACTAAAGCTACAGTATGATGAATGCTAAAAATAAGACCCACTTAGCTGGCTATTGAAAGGAGAATTCAAGCTATGAATGAAATGAGTTTATAATGATAATCTATGGTTGTGGGCAACACAGAGGGATACATAGTAGGACCAGTCATATCCCAGTAGAAATAAGAATGCTTAAAGCCTGATACAAAAGATTTACTCTCCAGATTAATTAAATTGATTTCTAAAGAGAATCTGCTTCAGAAGACCACTGTCCTAAACCAGGGGTGCACAGTAGTAGTAAGTATAGAAGCTAATTAAATTCTGGGGTCTGATTGCTGATGTCTTTCTTCTGTATGCATTTGAAATAGTGCTTGTTTTTTCATTCTAGCACGTAAGGAGATTTGTAAAGGGAGAAAAGGGCAGGGAGAATCTACCTCCTTAGAATCTGTAATTATGTCAGGCATAATTTCCTTGTTTGAGAGCTGTATTTTTTTTGGGTGCTTAAGATATTTAGTCACTGATAGATTTACTTTGATCTCTTCAAGCATGACTTTGTTCGGCGAGATCGGCCTCCCAGTGTGCTGATCGACCTCATCCAGAGAACGAAAGATGCCGTCCGGGAGCTTGACAACCTGCAATATAGGAAAATGAAAAAAATCCTGTATCAAGAAAAGCACAATGGGCCCTTAACAGAGTCCCAAGAAGAAGAGGAGGTGAGATTTAACAATGTCAGCGGAGCACAAAACTGCATGACACCAGTAGGCACTACAGTTGACAAAACCCCAGCAGGCCTGGCAACTAACCAGAATGCCTCCCGTGACACAAGTTCAGCCTTAGATGATTTCAGTCTGTGTGCTGTAGCATTCCTACCACCCACATGACAACTCTGGGATTCCAGGGTTGCTGCCATCTTTTCCTAAAATGAGAGAGATTCTGATAAAGAATCGATCACCTCCACCTCCAATCGGATTTTGGGATACCCACTTGTAATATTAGCCCTGATGTCCACAACCCTTCCCAATAGTTTCAGGTGTTGCAATTTGTAATGACATAAGTGCCACTTTATTCTCTGTTCCACCACTCAACAGTTGTCTCCTCACAATCTTATTAGTCTAGATGCCATCATGCAGACTCTGTAAAGCTTAGAAAAGCACACCTCACTCTGACTAATACATTGCATCATGAATTAACTTAAGACCCCACTAATGAACATATGGATTACTCTTGACGTGACTGTGATGAGACAAATTCATACCCATATATACATTGTTAAACTGCACGTTTTATACGTTTATGTTCTTAATTCATGAATGCCTTCTTAATAACATTCTTAGTGTATACTTCATCCAAAATAAACTTTAAAAAATAAAAGGAAAATAATGGTAGCATATTTGACCCTCTTCCCCAATATTTTGAAAGGTCTCCTTTAAAGATGTTTATAATATCTAATAGTCCATTTCCTATGGCATAATCCTGTGATGATGAGTATGTTTTCATTCATTTGGGTGTTCCTTGCAAAATTAGGTGTTTGGGACAATGGACAAGTGAAGTGGTTTTCAACCAGAGATCCACAGAGACCTGGTCACCAAAGAGTAACTCACCCCCCAGATCAAGAGTGTGTAAAATGAACATGCAGTGTTTAATCTTGCTTCAAAGCAAACCAGCTCTGCCTATGGTTTGTGCAACTCTTATTGATGAGCAGTTTTTCCAAATGATTTCCTGTTGTTTGTTTCTTGGCTTACATTGTGAAAGCCGGTCGCCCAGTCATTAGGAAAACCCAGGTATAGAGTGTTTGCTTGTGATTGTTCTTGCAGGACAGTGAACAGGCCAGTGGCAAGACGAACAGCCTTGGTAGTAACCACTCCATCCCCAGTACCTCCATCAGCACAGGAAGTCAGAGCAGCAGTATCAACAGCATGCAGGAAGTGATGGACGAGAGCAGCTCTGATATAGCCATGATGAATGATTACGATAGCACGTTAGAGTCAGAGAGCTCATCTGCCCCGAAAAAGGTTGGTTCCAGGTTCTCTACTGCACATGCTAAAGTCAGGAAAATTTGCATTAGTCAACTTTTGTTTTGTTTTTTTTGTTTTTTTTACAATGTTGAGCTGTTTAGGTGTAATATTTTTTGCTATTAAAACTACTAATACAGTGTTTGAAGTTGCAGGGAAAGAAAAAAATTGCCGATTTATTATTATGGGTTTATTTTAAATTAAGACTCCACTAAACTGATCACAACTGCAAACTAGATTCTATGCTGGGCAGCCAGATGATTATGTTACTCCATAAAAGCCTTTAAGTCATATATTCATTAAATCTAAAGAAAATAGTCAAGCATCTCCAAATTAAATAGTGGAAAACTGATATCTTCAGAATTGAAAATGAGCAGTATTTACAGTATGGGTTTTAGCCTTGTAATTAAGTTGTACTAGTTGCTCTGTCCTCAAGGAAATCTGATATAAACTGGTTAGAACACTACTGAACACTGTTGATGCTGGAAGTCAAAGACGTGTTCTATATTGTATAACTAAAAGTGGTCAGAATAGTTTCCATTCTTGTCATCTCATTTTGTGCTCTGGAAATGAAAAGGATATTTTCAGTCCATTAATTTATTTTGATCATGAAAACATGTTAATAGAACAAATCAAATGATCTTTATCAAAGAGGATGAAGAATTGTTGCTGAAGATAGTATTAGTTTTGGGAGTAAAAAAGTTAATATTGGGATAAATGTCAAAATGATGCAGGTGTCCTTTCGCATTAATTGTGATTTCCTGGAATAACAGATACAGTTCTTTCAATATATAAAGGTATATACAGTTTTCATGAATATATATTTAATAGAGGAGTTTAAGTTGGTCTTAAGACATTGTCACGGGTTAATGTTTTCCCTTCTTTTAATTATAATTGCCAAACGTAGAATACTTTTAATTTAAATAATTTGTACTTATTTGTTTCAGGTCATCTTAATTGCATTATGTTGTAGATGCTACACATTTTTTGTGTTAATTGTGACAATATGTTAATTACAAAGTTCATATTTTTGGGTTGAAAATGAATAACTTCCACAAAATATTTTTTGTGGAATTTAAATGTCTTTTCTCCCAGAGCTAGCCTGAAATATATTCTGTTTACATTTCGAAAAAGAATGAACAGTCTGAATTTTGAATACATCAGTTATATGAGTTTTTGTCTTTCTGACATAACTCTGTCATAATATATCCAGCCTACCTTTTGCTTAATGGGATATTGTATAGAAACATTTAATTAAGACTATGATATATGTGGTGTGAAACAGTCTTCTTTTGCGGAAAAAACAAAAACAGTTTTTGGCCACCAGCAGCCATTACTTCACATTAGTTTTCTGTTTTTATTTACAAGCCTTATTCTTGGGAAATCATGAAAAAAAAACATTTATCACTACTGTTGGTCTTAAATGAAACCTACGATGAATTAATTCAAAATAATTGTATTGAATGCAGAAGGCACAAAAATGTCCTGTGGTGTTATTAGAACATTTTGAGAATGCTATCCGTATATAATATGATGTGTTAAAGGAAGGTGACATTCATTTTAAATTGTGTACTGTATCTTTAAAAAAAAAACTCAGCGTGAGGGAGAGAGAGAGACGGGCAGGAAAAGAAAGCACTAGAAACTAAGCCTTTATGACCAGAAAGCATGGCTTTAGTGTGACTGATAAATCATTAGAGAGATTTAAAAGGATGATCTCATTACCTCTGTGCCATGTTCACAGAAATAAGAACCCTCCAGAATATTAAATTCAAAAATCAAACAAGACAGCCCCATTGATGTTGAGTTAATGGAGAAGAATCAGCCTGTTCATAATAATTTTGTTCTAGGACAGGAACATTGGTGTTCAAGGACTTAGTTTTTTTAAAACATTTTTAATCATTTGCAGAGTGAGTGCCGCGATATCCTCCCTATATGTTTTATTTTCTTTCCACTGTGGAAAGCCTGCCAGAGACTCGGGCAGCTTCCCACTAGTGATCAGCTGACTGTTAGCAAGGCTGCAATGTGTTGCTTATTCATTTTACCGTGGAGCTGCAGGGAATAGCAGGGAGCTAAACTATGCATTTCAAACAGTGCCTGTGCAGAAAGAGGGGTGAACGAGAGGCAGCGAGAGAGGAAAGAGCACATCTGGACTTTCTCCTTGTTTTTATCCATTTCTGCAGGATCATGTATTCATAAGGGATGAAGCTGTCCACAGGGATCCAAGGCCTGAGCTGCGGCCTACTTCGTCTGACAAGAGCCAGGCTCACAACTACAGGAACCGAGAGCGCTTTGCCACAATCAAATCAGCATCTTTGGTAAGCCTCCTTGAGCCCTTCAAGAAGGGGCTTGCTTTTAACATGTGTTGTCATAGCAACAGGATCCTGTTAATAAGCACTTTTTCTTTTTAGATTTTGGAACAGTTGTCTTTAAGAGATGAAGGCCATTTTTTTTTAAATTACATATTTTATTTATTCTTTATCCTGCAGTATATGGTTTGTTGTTCCTTTACGTCTAGCTGTGGTCGCAGCCCTGGTTTTATTTTGAGGCCCTGCTTGTTTAAGCATAATCATGTTTCTGCAATGCTGCCGATTCAGAGAGGGTAGTGTGTGAACACATGCAGAAATAATACCGGTCGCTGCTTTTGTTCTGTTTTCAAGGACAAGATTTGTGTCAATTCCCAGGGCATTCTGTCTATCAAGTCATCTAAAATAAATGGTTAAGTGCTTGTCTTTTGAGCTGATGAACATCTGAAGGATGAGTGATTAATTCTATTTAGCTAGAATGGGTGGTGTCCATTCACAGCCTTTTCTGATCATTCTTTAAACGTCAAGATTGTGCACGCCTTAAAGCATTTAAATGCATGTGCAGTCATTTAATAACATCATTTAACAAAATAGACCTGAGAGAAGATCTCAGTCTGCAAAAGCCCTGCATCCCTTATGGTAGGGTAATCATTAAAATAGTGATGCCACCTGAACAATATGCATGCAAATGATTTGGGGGGGATCTGAGTGCATTCCCTAGTGATCTAAGCTGCGCTTGTGTACATTAATATAAACAGGCATGCGATCTTCATTGTGGAAAGGAGGATCAGAGAGGTGGGGGTAGGGGGGAGTTTAGTGTCAGGGGGAATTGTTTCACTTTTGCCATCAGGAAGTTCTGTGCATGTAGAGATGGATATTGAGATTGAGATGGGGAATGTCAGCTGTGCTTCTGTTCTGGTCAGGTAAAGAGGGCTTGGCATTGTAGCTGCATAGCTGATATCATAGTCAGGATTGTTAGCCCTTTTGCAATAATTCAAAGGTGAACAAAACGATTGCTTCTTGTAAAGGAATGTGTATAGTTTGCTGTTTGTGTAGTAGGTGCTATACGTTATTAAGTGTGTGATTTATTTTGTATATACGAGTAGGTTTTGTGCTATCATCCTATTGTATTTCTTATGCAATAAGTAATTGATTCTTGGCAGTACCTTTACATAATAGGAACTAAGGTGCCCAGTTACAAACTAAGGTCTCATTAGTGGTTTGTCGAGATTAATCCGATCTCTGCATTAGAATACAATTTTTAAAATGATAAGGATTGTAGTTCAGGCAGGTACGACAGAGTGTTAAGGTGCTGACTGACAAGCTCTGGCACTGTGCCTATTGGGCTTAAGTTCAAAATAGCCATGGCTAAACTGGCATTGCTTTCTGACGGCTGAGAAGGTATTACATATTAAATGAGTAAGCTACTTCCCTGTGTAAACATATACGTGAAGGAGTCAATAAATGATGCAAAGCCTGACATGCACAGTAAGTTATTGTAGTATGCTCTCACAGCAGAGATGGATCCAGTGCATGCAGCCTGGGTGGGGTTCTGATGCAAAGAAGGACAGTAAAGCAAAATCTTATTTCTCACGAGCACGTCTGTAATGAAGATAGTCCTTGAAGAGGAACTGGAGTGACAGAACAGGGTGATGAGGTCGCCTGTTTAATGGCAGTGGAATAGATGCATGGTGGGTGTTTCTGGTGGCTAGCTCGTCAGTACCCCGGATGACCATCCTGCTTAATCCAAACTTTGTTCAGGCCTCCCTTACAACTACATCCTTAGAACTTATGTACCAGGTCTGTGAAGACTTTACTCAGTTTCCTTTGAAGCTCTTGATAAGGCTCTTTTGCTGAATTTATACAATTTTAAATTATAATTATACAATTATTATTAGGCCTATACTGCTGTTTGGTTATATTAATGAGGAATTTCTACTAGGTGGTAAATACGAATCTTTCCTAAGAACGCTTTTGAGTTGCTTTTTCATCTTGCCTAGACACAAACTATTTTCACACCTGTGATGTAACCTAACTACTTGGAGAATAGACTGAAAGATCTAGGGGAAGTAGTCTCAGTAGAAGGAAGTAGCTCAAAGAAAATCCATCTACTCTCAAGTATGGTCTTTGTCTTGCTGTTGGCTGTATGTATAAGTTCTTATTAATTACTACTGTAAATATTTCAGGTTAAGACCTAGACTCAACCAGTATATATTTAGTATCAAACTATATCTATTTTGAGAATGCAAATAGAAAGAAGTGTTGGTTACAGTGCATTTGACCAGGACATTCTCCTTTCTCCTTTACATACTTTTTTTGTTGAGTCACATGCTCTTTCTTCGGTTTAAGAATCTGGCTCAAAACAAGTGACTTGGATTCAGTGTTACAGTGGAAGTATTGATAAAAGCAGCTTATAAAGTGCCCAACTCATGTGACCTACCTGCTAATAATGCTTAGCCCAAAGACGTTTACTGCTCACTGATGGCTGCAGACGTTGCCCAGAGGACCTCTGCATGTTGCTAGCCCGATTTGTCAGGCGAGGATGTGCTCTAATGGAATGCTCTTTCAGTCAACTTTGTCAACATGCTGGGCTTCCGAGTTGCTCCGGGAAGTTATGAAAAACTCCACAACTGCGTTGGGGCGGATAACTCTTTTTCTCCAAACCAGGTTTGTTTCTAAATCTCTGCAAGCAAGACAGGAAATGGTACAGGGCGAGTGAAGCCTGGGTAGGGGGAGAAATGTCGTATTTTATGATGCTGAACAGTGTCAGAAATGGCAGTAAGGTTGGCTGTTTTGTAATTACTGTGGGTTTCTGTCTCCGAGTCAGTGGCATCCTTGATGTTTGATTTTGTGTGTTTTATGACATTATACAAGAAAAGCACTGACATTTCCAGAGTTGGGACTGGTTCTTTTTACCCCCTGGTCTCTTCGGGGAACCCCCACTCCTCCCCATTTCCTGATTCCCCTGGTGCTCTTCTGCTACAAGGTTACAAGGCAGATCCATGAGCATGAGCAGGAGAACGAGCTGCGGGAACAGATGTCAGGATACAAGCGGATGCGGCGGCAGCACCAGAAGCAGCTGATCGCTCTGGAAAACAAGCTGAAGGCTGAGATGGACGAGCACCGCCTCAAGCTGCAGAAAGAGGTGGAGACTCAAGCCAACAATGCATCCATCGAACTCGAGAAACTGGCCAAGAAGCATGCAATTCACACGGAGAAAGAGGTGAGTGTTATAGTATCACTGCCTTTAAGTACTACTAATTACTACTGCTGCTCTTACTTTGCAAATGAACGTTGTTTTGGAAAAAGAGATTATCCAACACGGATCGTTTTTTTGCAATTTCAACTTTTTTGCACTAATTGAGTTTCTGAAGATAAAGTTGAACAGTAATGACTGTGGTGGTGCTTCTTCAATGTATATAGGCAACAAATGTGTATTTAAAATTTAACAGTACCTAGAAAGTAAAATCTAATGTTAAACCCAGTACTACTGTAAGGAAAATGATCATTCAGCCATTTTTATTTTAAATTGGATTAGGACACAGAAGGCTGAGTGGTCCCTTTGAATAGTGAGTTTTAATGCCTGTTTTATCTTCTTCTGAAAGAGACAGTATAGATGAATTGGCTCATCCCAGAGAAATGGAGAGTTGGTAAGAGAGCAGGTAAATCTATTGTAGGTGATGGGAACATACTTTCTTTGAGATTCTGGTGCATGAACAAGGAAGTCGCCAAAACCTACAAGTCCTGCATTTCTAATTTGACATGTGGATGTTCTGAACTTTACCAGTATGCAAGCACACCAGTCAATGACGTTGTTGAACTGAATCCGTTTAATGGATTTATATTGTTCGATCTTACTTTTATCGAGTTTAGGTCTCGATATAAATTGAGAAAGGAAAGAGTGCCACATTTGTTTTTGTATATTCCTGTAATACTGAGTTTGCTGTAGATGATGTGAGTTTTTTCTTCTTTTCTCATAGAAGCATATTATTTGTGTGTGGTGTAATACAGCTGTTTTCCGATTTTCAAACAAATTCCATTAAAATGTCAAAATATCTGGCTAGAAAGGGTAACGACAGAGTGTAAATAACTGGAGAATAAAAATTCAAACACTTCTCGTAGCTTGTTGTCTCTGTGAAAGAAAAAAAAAAGGAAAAAAAGTACCCGGACAGCATGTTTTACAATAGTACAGCAATGTTAATAAAACAGCTTCATCGGTATTGCTTTAGAATGAAATTAGTTAGTGAGTCCTACATTCATTTTGATGCACTACAATTTCCTCTTTCAACCTGTAGTGTTGAGTTTTGCGTCTTCTTCTTATTATTATTAATTTATTGCAGATACACTTATCCAAGGTGCCCTACATTACGTACGGTGGATAGGTGTTGAAGTTGATATCTTGGTTTTTCATACTTCTGTTCTGTTTGACATGTGACCCGGGTTCATCACGTTGTTTTCACGGGGTGATCCCAACACACCACGTTTAGCTGCAGTCTTCTCTCTGTGCAGACGAAGACAGCAGCGGCAGATGAGAAGAAGTTCCAGCAGCAGATCTCGGCACAGCAGAAGAAGGAGCTGACCAACTTTTTAGATAACCAGAAGAAACAGTACAAGCTCTGCAAGGAGAAGATTAAAGAGGCAAGAGCCGTTTCCAAGATGAGAGATGTGTACTACGGTGATAGAACAGTGGCATGCAGCAGTCATGTATTACACTCTGCATTTTGGGCTTGTGAATTGTAAATTAATGATGTTTTACTAAAAAGGACCAGAGGCCTTTGAAGACTTTAAAGATCCCTTTGTGTCAAAGTACACAGGACAGTTTAAATGCATACTGCCAAGTGATCATTGATACCATTTTATTCCATGTATATGAGTAAAAAATATTTATTTTAATTCTTGCTCTGCCTTGTGTCAGTTGTGCTACTAATGTGCCAGGGATTTCTCACTTTAATCAAAACACGGTAAAGAAGGTATTGTCAAGTACTGTCAGTGACACTAGATTAGAGTCACTAAAAAAGACCAGTCTCCATTGAGCTCAGGTGGGTAGCTGCGTCAGCATGCATAGGCTGCAAAGGAACAAGTAATAGGTTTATTCCATGCTGAAAAGAGAAGAAGAAAACAACGTTTCAGATGTGGAGCCTTCTTTGGGTACAAGGGTTAGGGTTACACCCGAAGAAGGCTCCACAGCTGAAACGTTTTCTTCTTCTCTTTTCAGCATGGAATAAACCTATTACTTGTTCTTTTGCAGTCTGCAATGAGTCTCTTCAGGGAAAGTAGCACTATTTGAGAACCCACACCATCCTTGGTCTCTTCTTGACACAGTGACAAATTGTAGGGCGTCCTTTGTTAATTCAGAAGGTCCTGGTGAAGCCATCCAAGGAATGAAGCCAGAATCCACAGGCAGGTTTTCAGAGGTGTGATGTGAATCATTGGGTCTGTCACCCCAGGAGAAACAGCCCTGCTTTTAATGTCGGCTATAGAGGTTCAAGTCCTGGCAGCCCCTGATCTTTGTCTTTCCTTCACTGTGTTAAACAGGAGATGAATGAAGACCACAGCACCCCCAAGAAAGAGAAGCAGGAGCGCCTGTCCAAACACAAGGAGAACATGCAGCACACACAAGCTGAGGAGGAGGCACAGCTCCTCAGTCAGCAGAGGGTGTTCTACGAGCGAAACTGCCGTGCCTTCAAACGCAAGATAATGACCAAGAGGCACGAGTTTGAACAGGAGCAAATACGAGAGGTGAGACTTTTTTTTTACTTGCGCCATGAAGTTTCCAGGTGTTGAAAAAATATGCACTGTCCCGTAAATAAAAGTATGACAGCCAAGCAAATGGCAAACAAAATGTTAAGTCTTTTTTTTACAACATTGGTGATTTACTACTAGTCCTGTAGGAATGAAACGGGTAACATTCTGTGCAATCTTTTTAAGTGCCTTCATATCTTTTTATAGTAATAAATATTAGGTTGTTTGTGTATCTGTATTTGTATCTTGCTCTGACATGGGGGCATAAATTGTTTTAAAAGATTTGTTTTTCAGCATGGATTTGTAGCATCACCAACAATTAAAAAAAAAAAGGTTTGGTGGGAAGTGCCTACGGTTTAGTGGCCTTGAGCAGCGATGGATTAATTTTTCTCTTCTGTAGTTTTTTTTTGCCTGGGAAGCAGATTACAAAGTATAAGAAATGAAACTATGTTCAAATCTAAAAACTGTGAGCTAAATCATTTATGCAGCAGAAGTAGGAAGTGTTAATTTGTAACTTCACACAGGAATCAAGCGTGGCTGTTTAACTAAACTTGCACTGGTGTGAAAGCACACCAGAAGGTATATTAACTGATTTGACCTGTTTTTACATCTATAAGCATAACATAGGAGACGGCATTTACTTTTTGCAAAAAAATAATTTGAAGAGATACTGTAAATTACATACAAAATCCAAAACTGCCAGCACACTGTTTTACACTGTTTCTTTGTGAACAAATTAGTAATTAGTTCTAATTTACCAAGCATAACGTGAAAGCAAAACAATTTCCCTGGCCCCATCATGTTTTATTTTAAACTATAATAAACTATTATAAATTGACACCGGGAGAGAGCTGTAACTTGCTTATGCTCCATCGCAGGAGCTGAACAAAAAGAAGACGCAGAAGGAGATGGAGCACGCGATGCTGATCAGGCACGACGAGTCGACGCAGGAGCTGGAGTACCGGCAGCTGAAGATGCTGCAGAAGCTGCGCATGGACCTGATCCGGCTGCAGCACCAGACGGAGCTGGAGAACCAAATCGAGTACAACAGCCGGCGGGAGAGGGAGCTGCACAGGAAACACGTCATGGAGCTCCGACAGCAGCCCAAGAATCTAAAGGTATTCCTACTCCAGCTTCCGCCTTGCTCTCAAGCCTGTTGAAAGGCCATTGCGCGGGTTACAATGAACACTGGGAAAGGTTATGGCCAACATTGTGTCTCACCATGCGGTATTAGTATATCTGTAGAACCCACTCAACATCTTAAAGATATGAGATGTAATAAAGCATGCAGATGCTTTTTTATTTCTCCATATCAGAAAAGATCTTTGTCATTGTCAGTGTTAGTCTGATCTTTTTCCACCAAATAGATATTGCTTTTATTGATTTGGCTTTACTAAGAGTCACTTGCTGGGACTATAATCTTTAAGTGTGTGAAATCACTAATATAGGGATTTCATTGATTTTAAATTTGACATGGGGAACAAAAGTTTTTTTTTTGCAAGTTAAAGCTTCCTAGCTATTGTAGAGGGAATATTTTAAAACTGTTACTACAGTGCTTCATCACAAATAAAAAGTAGTGTACTATATGTGTTATTAACTGAAGGGAATAGTTACTCACCAGAGCATGTTAGGGATTAACATAATGGACCGATAGCATTGATTTTCAGTGACCTTACGTTGTAAAATGTTACAAATATTCAAGTTTTCTTTTTTATACCTCAGTGATCTATTTAATGGTGTCATGAAGCTAGCTTTATGTAGGCAATGTAACCATTAAACCATGATGAAACTGGGCAACACAAGAGAATTATAACCCCCAGATGTCACTGTATGATCAGATTGCATTCTCAGCACAGCACTAGTAATGACCCTTAGCATTATTCTTTCGCCTTCATTTAGCCTTTGAATTGTGTCTTCAACCTTCTAATATCAGTTTTTCTTATTTATTCCCTTTGCTGTTAAAACTAAAAAAGGGGTGTACTGTGATCCACATTAAGGCATAATTTATTATTCAGAAGTTTTGTGTGTGTTTCACAGCTATATGAAGGGTGTGCTTAGTACTGTATAATTAGTAGGGCACTTGACCAAACAAACACGCACAACGTACGTACTGAGAGGTTCCTCATGTTGCATTTTAATGATTCTTAACTATTTATCTACCCAGTTGCATATCTTATTTGTTTTAGAAAAGATCAAACATGCAGTGGAGGCACTTTTTTATTGCTTTCATTCCTTTTGATCGTACATTGCTGCTTTTTTTTCCCATTGCAGGCCATGGAGATGCAAATTAAAAAGCAGTTCCAGGATACATGTAAGGTGCAGACAAAGCAGTATAAGGCACTGAGAAACCACCAGTTAGAGGTCACTCCGAAGAACGAACACAAGACTATACTGAAAGCACTGAAAGATGAGCAGACACGCAAACTTGCCATTCTGGCGGAGCAGTATGAACAAAGTATAAACGAGATGATGGCCTCGCAGGCGGTAAGTTGTCAGAAGGAAGTAACAGAAGCTTTATATCGTAAAAATGGTCTTTTCAGTGAGTTTAAATGTTTCTGAACAGAAAATAATTAAACCACCGCATTCCTGTAGTTAAGCATGTAGGTCTTGGCATAACAGTCATGTACACATGCTTTTTAAGTGCTCTTAAATCAGTTAAATGCATAGTGATGCTGACCCCATTTCCATACCCCATATAAGGCACAGCACGAACGGTTTGTGCATTGCTAGATCACTTGCAGCATGTTAATTAGGTAGTATTGATGTGAACAGGCTCTCACATTTGTTAACATGGAAATAATACTGAAGTCCTTAAATGCTATTGTTGTATTCCTACTGTATATAAACCCGTAGTGAATGCAGATGTTTTTCATTATTTAATTATACAAATCGTGCTGATCTTCTCTGTTATCGGGCCATTTTCCCTGTCACCATGTTAATTTTCAATTGTGAATAAAACTTTGGTTGAACTACTTGTAATTCTGATTGTCTATTCATGCAGAGACAACACAGTGGAGACCCAATCCCCAAAAATACAGATGTGGTTGTCAGACTGTCTTCTCCCATCTGTTGCCTTGGACTGTTGAGTGCATTACAGTGCTTTTCTTTCTGTTTGCAGTTGCGACTGGATGAGGCCCAAGAAGCCGAATGCCAAGCCTTGAAACACCAGCTCCAGCAGGAAATGGAGCTACTCAATGCCTACCAGAGCAAAATTAAAATGCAAACAGAAGCACAGCATGAGAGAGAGCTGCAGAAGCTGGAGCAAAAGGTCTCCTTGCGCAGAGCCCATCTTGAACAAAAGGTGCGTTCAGAACAGAAATAGGTTTTAAAACAGCTGTGTTAGAGGGGGGTACCCTACCCAGTGTTGCATTGTACAGTCATGTACATGTGCTTGCTGTCATATCAGATGCATTATTGTTTGTGTTTGTTTCTTGGGAGAAGAGGCAATAATATTCTAGCACTCACCTTGCCCCAGGAGCTATGTGGTCATTATCTTTTGATTGTTAACTCGAGCGTTCCCCTGGAGTCATGTCCTAAACCAGGGTCATTTTGATTGGTGCTGGCCGGTAATAGAAATCTACAGTATGTGCATAAAGCCTAGACCAACGTGTGGGCTTCTAGCGCCATCTGTTGCTTTCATTGTAGAACTACAGATTAGAATTGTGCAAGTATTATTGCCTGAATTATACTTACTATACTTTCATGTATTGCAAGAGAAAATCTTTCAAATTAATTTCTGTTTCCTAGACTGAATGAACATACGATATAAGTAAGGTTTAAAGGATTCTAAAACTATAAATGTGGCAATTCTGGAAACCATTACAGCTGTTATATTGTACTTAAAAGTACAGGCTGAGTGAAATATTCTCTCCAGATATCACCCCCAGAACTGACAAGCATACACAGGTAATTTTCTTGGCACTAGAGATGCACATTTTGTTCCAGCGCTTAAAATAATATTTTAAGTGCTGTGGCCTGGTAAGAGACCTTTTACTAAAATAGCAATTATACAGGAGCAAGGGTGAAAAGTACTACAAGTCACACTGAAAATATAAGTTAGAGAATACAAACTGTTCAAATCTCCAGAGCTAAATTTGCTGGTAACTTGATGAAAATATTTGCACCAGCATGAAGATGCACTCCACCTAGAAACAATATAGGTATTGAACACAAACTGTTTTTTACCGAAATATAATTTGGGGATTTAAATATGAAATACTCTGTGCTAAGCACTATGGGAGTGATCCTATGGGTACTGTATATTTAACGTCAGATAAGATCACTTTATTGGCCATATACAATTTGTTGCATTAGGAATTTTTCTTTCAGCATACCCCAGCTTGCTCTCCGTGAGACACACAGACATGGAGAGAGAAGCTTGGGATCAGAGCGCAGGGTCAGACATTTATACAGTGCTCCTCGAGCAGTTGGGGTTAAGGACCTTGCTCAGAGGCCCAACGGAGTAGGATTCCTCTGCCGGCCATGGGATATGAGCCTTCCAGCCACAGGCGCAGATCCTTAGCCATAGTGCCACCTCTCAGCCCAGCTTTAATGAGAAGTGGACATTTATATGGACGGCACCTCAACAGGGATTCCTTTATTCCAGGAAATTTTAAAAACCCTGACCTTAGAAAGACGCTAGCTGTCAGGGTTTATTCAGTCCTCCACATTTGGATTTTCCCCTACCAAAGCTCACTTTAGATTTATATTTTTATTCTCTTACAGCAGTTTAGCATTTTGTTCACAGGTGATGTAAGTGATCTGCTGTTCTTGATTACAGATTGAAGAGGAGCTGGCTTCACTTCAGAAGGAACGCACTGAAAGAATCAAACACCTGCTGGAACGACAGGAAAGGGAGATCGAGAGCTTTGACATGGAGAGCACCCGACAAGGGTTTGCAAACCTGGGTACATTAGACTATCCTAAAGAGGACTATAGATGAAAAAGATTTGCCATCATACCCTGTCCACTTCTCATTAAAGCTGGGCTCTTTGCTACTGACATCACCTCCGGACTAGTGCCTGTGCCTAGTGTCCTCAATAATCAGGGCCCCTTGTAATGTTACAAGTAAATGCTGGATAACTTTTGGTTGTCTTTTAACAAATGTCACAGTATTGATGTTCATGTGCAATGATAACTTTTGGTGAAACTGAAAAAAAGTGGATGTACGTTGCTTAATGATCATGCATTAGAAATGATTTGTCAGTCTGTGCAAAAAAAAATGAAAAAAGAAAAAAAAGACATTCTCCTGCAGCCTTATCTTATACGCTGCTTCTCACTTTTGGTATTTATTCATCAGGAAATTTTATTAAGATTGAGCAATTTGATATGTTTAAATATGAACTCATATTGTACATATTGGTAGTTACACACGTTACTTCTGGGGAAATTGTGATTAACAAATGCTGGATAACGTAACTCAGCCCAGCATTTAACTGTATCATAATCATTTTCTGCTGTAGCAGATAATGTGAATACCATACATGAATCCCAAAACCCAGGTAGCACATAGGGCATGGGATGTTCATGTATTTTGTGTATAGAAGGATTTATGGAGAGCTTTTACTTATTTTCATATTGTATTTTAACTGGTCCTCAGATCAATTTTTTAAGATGATTTTTTTGTTCAGTATTTGGAGTTTAATCTGTCAATGGGATCTTCTATTGGAATTTTCCATCTAGATCATTATATTGCTTTATCCACACTTTCAAGCTGTGTATTTTCTTACAATAAATCAAATCAGTAAAATGCTTTATTATTGCATGCACTTTAAAATTTTTCAGGTTATTAAGAAAAGCATGAATCTGTCAGAGCTTTTAATTATATTTGTAAATAAAAGTGCTCACCACATGTTTGGTTTAATAATTGTTCTTCACATTAGTTAACTTTTCATTCTCAGTTACTTTATCCATGTATTTAATACCATGTTTAAAGAGCACTGCACTGAAGCATGGCTGAATGCAGATTTGTGCATTAAGAACATAGGACTTACAAGTGGTTAGGTACATCTCATCACCACCTTCATTTGTTCTTCACTTTCTATAGACATGAGAATGTTGCTCTGAAATTAAACTTCAATTGATGAAGATAAAGGTGGCCTGCAACCATTTTCCTGTTACCTAATATTTCGAGTGCTTTTAACATATGCAAGGGCAACACCCTATTTTAAAGAGCAAGTGTGTGTTGGGGTTTCCTTTTAAAAACCAGGACAAAAAAAAAAACAAAACAAAAAATTTCTTATTCTTGTATCTAGCTTATTTTATTGCAATCTAGTGAAAATTACAATTCTTACTGCAGTGAAATACTGCAGAACTGTGCAATTAAGGTCAACGAAATGAGAACTTTATAATTAACACAAAAAATAGCAGATCTGCAACGCAGGAGATGCATAACATAATTAGGCGGTAGTCAGTTGCATTGGTTACTGAGGCTTTCATTTGCCGGACAGCTGTTGATACAGCTTCGGCACATAATCATCCCATTCAGCTTGGTAGCAGGTGCCAGCTACTGGGGCTCCCAGCTTGTACTTCTTGCGGAAGGCTTCCACTTTGAATTTTCCACGGTGGTCTCCGGATCGATTGCTGAGAACAGACTCATTGCATGACAAGGGTCCGGGCTGTTCATACACCAGCCACACATAGCGATGGAGACCTGGAGGACACATCATGCAGAAAAGCTGTTATGCCTTTATGCCAAAATGCTGTGGACTCCCAACCTTCCCCTCCCCTTAATCCTTTTGTGTCCGTTTCTGCATGTGCTCTTATATTCCATGACCCATGACAGATTTGAAAACTAATGGGATCCAAGTGGCAACTGCAGAAAAGAAGTGTAAATACCCTGATTCAACCAGTTTGCAAATGACCATCAATTGCATCACCGTTTGAGAAACGGGCAGCTCATTCTGCACTCTTGCTCCTTGCAGAACTTTCAGAATTCACCAGACAACGCAGGCTTTCAGAAGTCTGAGAAATTAAAGGACAGCCCCAGGCACTTGTAAAGGGCTGAAATCTTTCTCTTTCCCTGAAAAGCACATTTGAGTTTAATTTGAGCTTAATTGAGTAGGGGAATTTAAAATCCATTTAAAACAGCCTGGGGCTGTGCCACAGGGGAAGAAGAATCCGCAATGAAACCTGACCTAGTACAGTCAGTGCAGTCCATGAATTTCAAAAGGTTTCTGGCACAGCACATCACAGCAACAACGACCTCTTAGTAGGACTCGATTGAATGTTATTTTTTAATACAACCATTTGGAAGATGTAAAATGTAAAATGTAGTAAAAAAAAACGTACTCCCTTTTAATGCTGCTGTACAAAAACCTCATTATATACCTGCCTAAAGGGGGGAGTCTAACTTGTTTTTAAATCTTACCAGTTCCTTTTGGAGGGCCAGATCCAACATAATCGGACATCACACATCCAGTGCCAACATCGTTTCCTTTCATGTTCACAACCAAAAAGTGATGCCACTCCCTTGCATTAACCAAAAAAAAAAGTGTCTTAGCAAAAAGATGAGTGTAGTCACGAAGATAGGCACCAGATCATAATAGGCAACAGATTTGAACAGGTCTTTTATCAAATGCACCTCAGATGACTCAGCAGTTATTTACCATATTAAATACACATTTTACATTAAAAGTTCTAGCACTTCTGTCTCGGATGTCTTGAAGCATCCTCCCACTCTTAACTTCATTTAATTCTATTTAAAAATGTGTGTTTATATTCGTATGTTAGAACCTCTTTAAATAATGCGCTCATTAGGCGTGTCCCGCATCGTATTCCTATAACGCTCAGTTTTGTGATCTTATTTCATTGTTTATTATAGAGGCCTTATAATAATCTTATAATAAGGCTCACCTGAATTTAGGGTCCTTTCTGCTCGGCGCGTCTGGATCGGTCAGGACTAGAGTGTATAGTTTGCCAGGGTCGCAGCCTGACCAGTCAATGCTTGTAGGCGCGTTTTGCACCTGGAAACACGCAACAAACGGCGTCTCGCACACTGAATACACTTAACAATCCTGCGCATAAAACAATTCGATGTGTTTTTAGCTCCATGTTATTCAGACAAGCATGAAACCATTGCGTTCATTTCCAAAAACGTGAAGTTCCCTTAAAAGGTTTTAATGTTAATATGGACCATCAAATTATAGCGCGTCACCCTCCGCATTATTTCAACGCACATACGAATTAAAGCAGAAGAAACGTCTCCCGTCGTCAATATCACTCCTCGTCTATCTGTCGACATTATGAAATTGATGTACGCTTTAGAGATTTAGGCTTAAAACAGCCATGTGGTGCAGCCGAGGCCTGAGCAGAGAAGCGTCTTGTACTCGTACTGTACCTGGGTGGGTGTGAGCACTTTGCCCAGTTCATCAATTTCAAGAGGCCCATATTTGACGGCCAGAGGGACGGCGGGCTTCTCTTCCACCTCGGTGAGAGCCAGCGGTCCGTTCCACGCACCTAGATCCACGGGCATCGTCTTAGCAAACCAGACCTTGTGCAATAAGGCAGACAATACCGCAATATGCGAAACACCCAGCTTCTGAACTAACGCTGCCCCTCAATTTTGATGAGCGCATATATTTTTCAACTGACGGCCCACTGAGCCAATTGCCGAGCGCTCAGCCCCATGTGGTGCCGGTCGCGGTAGGGCAAAGCGCACGTCAATCCGGCAGAGCCCGGCGGCCAGTCCCCAGCGCTTGCACGTTTGCATGGCGTGCCCCCCTTTCGGTCTAGAAATGTCTGCAGAAACCCCGGGGTGCCAACAGCGGAAAGCCGCGACGGCGAGTGATTAGAGAGACATTTTACTTGAGCGTAACACCAAATGAGCGATGTCACAAGCGCAGATCACAGCCTCCTCCCGGATGATGTCATGTTTGCAACGGCACAACGTTTTAAGTCAGGAGGGGGTGTTTCAGAATTACGCGAATTCCTATGAAAGATGCTATAATCGTATCGAACAATATGGAAAAATAAGGCTTCACGCCATCTGAGGGTTTGCTTACTATTACAGAAGGCAGCATGTGGCTTCAGTGACACACGTGTTAAGCACCAAGTCCCGGTGTATTGAAAACAAAGTGAAATGCACAATAACACATTGTTACAATAAAAACATATTAAAAAAAAAACACAAAAGATCAGGTGCGGTGCTTTGATTTCACGCTGGGCTCTTCGTTTCCTGTGACGACGTCCTTCTTCCAGGACCAGGTAGCGCAGCCGTGACAGTTCCCCACGCGTGTCTGTGCCTTTAATTTAAAACCGACGGGGTGTGGCTTCACAAAAAAAAAAACTACTGTATCCGGAAAAATCGGATGGCAAGCCCCAAAAAGGTAAGGGAGAGACCTGTATCCGGAAAAGTTCACCTGCTGACCACTGAAGTTGCAGGTTTGTAAGTTTGAGGTAACTGGGGAGGTGTAATTGGAATTATGCTGGAGCCGCTGACAAAGTAATATGTTTTTATTTAGCTGCTCACGCCTAGCAGGTTGTTTACAGGTGTTGAAGTTGCGGATTACTGATGTCCTATTGTTGATCGCTGACTGCGGGCCAGGGTGGGATCTACAAGGAAATAAAACTTGCTGAAACAGGTGGCAAGCATGGGCGAGCTAGCCTCCGCGGGTATTTTCGGTGTTCTGTTGATTTGCACAACAGGTGAGCTCGATTTAGGAATTTTATTTCAAATCTATGATTTATATATTTACCCATTTGTTTTGTTTTCGTTTCTGTATTTTATTCTGTTGTGTTAGAGGGTACATTTTATAGTTGCATTAACGTTAACCTCCGAATTATTCCACACGTAGTTGGTATTAGTATTTTAATCAAATGTTACGGGTTTTTTTGCAATGTAGTGGACGTTGAGAGAGGGAGTTGTGAACGGACACACCTAAGATATGAACCAGGTGTACAAGCTAAAAAAAACAGGTGGGAGCCGGAGAAAGCCCCCGTCCGCAGGACGCGACAATAAGAGTAGGAGGAGGTTCCTCTGGACCTAGTCATAGTCTCATGGACTGTGAAAGCAGGGACATGCATCGCGTAGTTGACTGCAAAAACATCGGTGCGCGAACAGGTGTGAACCAGACACTGACGAACCAGACAGGTTTCGCTTTTCTTCGTATGCAGTGTCAATGTGCCATCGCAAGGGGGTCCTATCCTTTGGAGCGCAAGCCATGTTTTTAAACCAAATTTCCTTTTTTCACTCGTCGTGCAAATATTCCTTCCTTTACCGTGCGGTTGGTTATACCATAGATGTACAGTATAGTCGTTATGTTTTGACGTTTGGAAATGCATGCCAGCGGTTACCACAACCTGGCGTGTCGCACGAAGAGTCCGGGGGTGCCAGTGGCACGAAACGTTTACAAATATTGTGTCCGGCTGTGCTCCCGCCGCCAATAGGGAGAAATAGAGACAGAGATGCACTTTGTGCCGCGAGAAGTACTCTGGGATCAGACAAACATTCTTCTCTAAAATAACTAATCTAATCCCAGAATTCCGCCTCCTGCCAGAATTAGATTAGTTTCCGATTCTACTGGGGGAGGTAACTCAACAGAGCTTGCAGTCCAGTGTGTGTTCCCCTGTCACAGCCTGAGGAACAGACAGTCTCCCAGTAACATTTTACGTGATGTCTGCAAATATCTAATAGTATGGTTGTACTCTAAATGTCAATGAATGTTGTGTTAATTGTATCTGCTTTGGCAACACTAATTCATTGGTCATGCCCATAAAGCTCTTTGAATCTTAATTGCGTAAGAGTCACTTTACTTTCAGGATTTTTGTTTACAGTTAGGGGTACCTTAACTGTCCGGTACTGCGCCTGCTAATGGATTTATCTTCATGTTTGTTTGTTTTTTTACAGTTGTGACTGATGCAGTTAATATAGAGGAAAGAAAAGCAACACTAGGAGAAACTGTAGTCCTTCCTTGTATTGACACTGCACCAAATAGAACATTGTTTATCACACAGTGGGTCAAGGATGGAACAATTATTGCAGACTCAAATTCCTCATATGTTCAAAGGTCCGCTATCCACTTTTCCATATTAAAAAACAGTAGCCTACAGATCAGAGGCTTGACTGTGTCAGATGGAGGAAACTACTTCTGTAATATTACACCATCTACTTCCGCGGAGGAGAATCAAACACACATTAAACTGCTGATTTTTGGTAAGATATGTTTAGCCTTCTAATTTGTTAATATAATCTGTAAACACTTTTCTGAACCTCTTAATTGTTATTATGATTTTGGTTTCAAATAGAAATCCTGCTTCTGTGTGTGAAAACGCCCTTAGAAAGAAAATATGTCAACCATTTTGCCCATATTGCTTGTCCATTTGTTTAGGAAAGTGAATCTAAAATTGTGTCCAGCCATTTATCTAAGAGTTAAGGTATTAAGAGGAGCTGTTCCAGACACCCACAGCTTATTGTGTAAAGTAGGATACCCTGTTCAGCCGTGTAAATGAATTGTTTTTATAGTTTCCAAGTGTGACCCCTTGTTGTGCTGACTGTGTTGTCCCTGTCTGTACCACTTAGGAATTTGTATACCTGACCCAAGTCTCTTGTCAATCTCCTTTCTTCTAGACTGAAAAGACACTGATTTGTGTTATCCTGTTAATTGTGCTGCAGACTTAAATGATATAATAAGATGTGGAACAACGTCAGCCATTGTCAATATAGGTGTGGAATGTGTACATTTTATTTAGAAAGTAGTATGATTAACGAGACAACAGTTTTTTTTATTAACAAAGAATATTATTTTCTTTGGGTGCAGTGGAAAAAAACGTTCTTTTAACATGAATTTCACATTAAATCAATCTATTTAGTTAGCCAGAACAGTTAACTTTGGTCTGTGTAAACAGAAGTACAGTAGCTGTGCTGTGGTCATCTGAGTGTCAAAGTCAAAGAGTGTCATCTCAGCCATCTGCTACAAACATTCAAATTCTTTCCAACAGCCTGTATTAAAAAAAAAAAAAAAACAACTAGATGAGATCTCAAAAGGCAAGGATTTGTGTGGTGTCAGGCTAGTCCCCAGTGAATGAGAGAACAAGCCTAGGCTTGTCTTGTGTTGTTGCAGGTGGTCCAGAATATGAACTAGAAGAGCAAATGTGTCACCAACATTCCCAATGCAACAGTCCTTATCAAGAGCAACTCTACCATCCTTTTATCAGTTCAGGCCAGTCCTTCCCAATCTGAGATCTGACCTGGATTTTAGATGATTCGGTATCAAGAAGTAATGCCCTCGCCTCAGGGAGTGGGACCTCAATGTTGTTAGAAATGTTCCATATTTCTGGATTAAAACAGAGCGACAACAGCTAATTAGCCAGGACATCCAGTTTCTGGGATGTCAGTGACCCTATACCACTGCTGGTTTTCTTAAGGCACTTTATTTAATATAATTGGGGTGTTGATGTTCAGAGGATATTAGGAGGGTCATAAACCTGTTCACTGTCATCAAACACAGGAGTTTGTCTTTCAGGATCATTTGATATTTTTTGTTTTATGTAACAAAAATCAAAAGCTTTACATGAGAACAGATAAAGATGTATTTTTATAGCACACTGGGTTGAAGACACTTTAAAAACTGCTTCAGTAGTTTTTTGCATCACAAGGTAACATGCTTTGTACTTTTGTATTTAGGTGCTCCCATTAAACACCCTGAGTGCCTTTCTCAGATGGGAAATGCTTCCATGCAGCTCCTTCTGCGCTGTATTTGGATTGGAGTGTACCCTCTTCCCACACTGCACTGGACAGAGGAGTCAAGGAGTCTGGGAGACCACGAGCCTGTTCTCAATGTCTCCCAAACAGAAGAAAGCCTGGAGGTGACGCTTAACAGATCACAGCTACGTGATGGTCAAGAGCTCAGATGCACTGGGCATCACCCAGCGCTGGAGCCCAAAGACTATAGATCCTGCTCTGTGACACTGAGTAAGCCTATTTCCCTTACCCATTAATGTCCAGTAATGCATAAAAGTCTACGTGAGAGGCACAAAATCACTACCAGTTTGTGAAACACTCTTAGAACAGATGTTTGTGTGTGTTCTCCATCTGCGGTTTGATGGTACACAAGGGTAGATTGAGGGTAGATTATGCAGCGAGTAACACACACTTTTTAATGTGTATATCAGGTCTCAGCAGATCTGCTGATATTTTATGTATTAAATTCAGTGTAGAAACTGAAAAAAAATGTGCCATATTGCTTTCAAGGAATATCCCCTTATGTGAAAAGGAAGTTTTTTCAACAAAGCTCTTCCATGTATGCTTTTCAGAAGCTCCATATCCACAAGGGGACCCACTCGTCACTGCTTTTGCTGGGAAGAATGTGACGTTGAAATGCACAGAAACCGAATCTATACCACCTGCTAACACCACATGGCTCAAGACAATCAGACAAGAAAAAATAATCCCAAGCTCCAAGTACATAATTTCTCAAGATGGGCCTGTTTTTACCCTCACTATCGTTAACTGTTCCAAAGAGGAGGATGAAGGTGTTTACTTTTGCAGGAGTGAGAACCCCGTCAGCGTTCAGGAATTAGAAGTGTTCCTAACCATAAAGTGTGAGTTGAATTTGTGTTGCTTGTCTTCTTTTTTTTCTTCAAATTAATGGTCATATTCCTGACCTCATGTACAGAAAATGGCCTTTCTGATTATTATTCATCATTGGTAAAAAAAAAAGGTGTTTAATTTCACAATTAGTCACCAAACATTTCTAGTAAACCCTTAATTCAGAAGGGTAAGACATTGATCCACCCCGATTCATAACAAGCACCTTTGAAAGATGTTTTAAGAATGTTGCAGTGATACTGACAAAGATTGATACTTAAAAACAGTGGAGATACATGTAGATGAACCTTAACTAAAATGCTGTGGAACCAGTTTTCTCTCTGCCAAGTCATGAAAATCTCTGTAGAGTGCTATACTTTGTAGATTATCACCTAAATCCTTGCCACCTAACTCAACAGTTCCTCTCGGGTCCTGGAGAGTAACAGTCCATTTTGTTTTACAGATCTTAAATCTCCTGAACTAAAGATTAGGAATATTTGCAAGTTATTGATAATATACTCATTTATCTGAGAAAACTCTGGTCTTTTAGGACAAAGGGACATTGTGTTGTTTATTGGAAATGATTTCTAAATTATTGAACAAATTGCCTGTTTAATGGATCTCAGGTTGGTTGTCTTTAGATACTTGTGATTTAATTTTCTGCCCATAAAGTCTATGAAATTGGAGTTCTCCAAGACCAGGACTAGAGACTCCTACTTGAACTCCTTTAGAAATGCAGCAGTCTCCCTTATAGTTAATTTTGCTTAACAAGCCAAGCAACTTGTCAGAAAAGTTGGGAAATATGTGTGTACGCAGTTTAAAAACAGTTGGGCTTAATTTAATAACAGTCTTATAAACTTGCATAGGACTTGCTGTATGGCATGGACCCAAACTGTAATAACTACAAACTATACAAACTAGTATAATACAAACTAGTATACAAACTACTAGTAGTTTGCTAGCATACAAACTGGGGTGGTGTGGTGGCTCTGTGGTTAAGGATCTGCGCCTCTGGCTGGAAGGTTGCCTGTTCGTATCCCGTGGCCGGCAGAGGAATCCTACTCTGTTGGGCCTCAAGCCCCCAACAACTCCAGGGACACCTTATAACTGGCTGACCCTGCACTCTAAGCCCAAGCTTCTCTCCCTGTCTGTGTGTCTCATGGAAAGCCAGTTGGGGTATGCGAAAAGACAAATTCCCAACACAAGAAATTTTGGCCAATAAAGTGATTTTATCTTGATCTGCAAGTTAGAGCACATCTTCAGGGAACTTGTGGGTTTAAAGCTTCCCCCTTCTTCTCTAGGTTAGCTGAAGAATTGATTTAGGAAGCTTGCCACACTGCATCTGATGCAGTGGCTTTTTGTTTTCCAGCTTCTGCATCAAATGTTGGTGGGGTGATTGGTACATTTATTGCCGTCCTAATTGTTGCAGCAGGGATTGTTGCTGGTGTAATAGCATATTCTAATCGGGACAGAATATGCCTTGGTAAGACAATTTGTATTTGCATTTTGCTGTAATTGTAATTGTTAGCCTTAATTTAGGGTTTACCGTACAGTATGTTGCTTTATCATGTCCTCCTTTTGTTCTTCCACTCTACAATATAAAGTTCCACTTAGATTAATCATGAGAGGTTAATAATCTTTTTGAAAGTTCAGTAAGTGGCCTCTGATGAAAGGTCTCAGATAAACTAGTGTTGAGTATGCAACTGATTCAAGTGAAAATATTACTCATTAAAAATATTTAAGTACATTGAAAATAAGTCCAGTGCTAAGATTTGTAGTATAAAAAATCATACATTATTATAAAAAACATACTACCTCAAACTGAGTAACTTCTTCAAAATGTTTTTTTAGTTTTCAGAAAATTATTAAATGTATTTACAATATACAGTACAGTATATAATAGTTAATAGAAAATAAAAAATAATATATAGAAAATAAATTTACAAGAGGGCATGGTTAATATTTAAGTTATTTTAGTTTAGGATTTTTGTAGAAAACGTACTTTTAACTTTATGATTTCCTTCTCAGATTAAAAATGTAAATTGGTGAAGATATAAGTAACATTCATATTGATCTCCTTTCTTTATTTTGTAGGACACAGCTTTGGGTAAGTATTGAATTTCCAAATTGAATAGCTAAACCTTCTATGTCATGTGGAACTGTTGGTCCAACAATGTGAGTGTTTAATTGGGAATTTCCCATCATTCTTGATATGGGGATTTCCCTTGGCAAAGATTACTGTTGGGTAATAGTATAAGCAACAGGGAAAGTTTTAACTGCTTATAAATTAAACTTATTTTTAATATTTGTGGCTACATTAAAATAATCGGGTGATTACAAAGTAGAGGAAGGTGTTTGGTCCATCTAGCTTGTTTGGTAGTTACTAGCAAATTGATTCAAATATCTCATCCAGCCATTTTCTGAAAGAAACCATGGTACCGGCTTCAATTGCATGGCTGGGTAACTTGTCCCGGGCTTGTGTAACCCATGCAGCTTGATGTTCACGATTGCAGGAATGAGGAGAGGAGTGATGTGTTAAATCTGGTGGACTCGGATGAGGAAGAGCTCTTCAATGACCCTGCCACAAGGATCACAGCAGTGGCTAATGGACATGCCACGTCACTAGTGCAAATCCATCATAACTCTCCCGGTACGTCTTGTTGATTGCTGCATTGACACTGTTTGTGGAAGGTTTTATTAGGTTGAAGGTGAAATCCTAAGAAGTGGTCTCATATATACAGTATGCTGTTTCAGACATTTTATTCTTCATTTGTTCTGCTGCAGTACATCATGAAAACTCCTGAAACTTGCATTTTCAGGTGACATAGAAGACCTCAAGAGCACTGACTCAGAGAGAGGAGAAGAGAACACACCCACATCTGAGGAAGGACAGGCGACATTATAGCTTTCGGGGCACGGAGAGAAAGAGATGTTTTTATGGTTGTTGTTTCCTTATAGAATCAGCCAGTTGTATACCTGGTTTTCACTACCTTCTTGAAATGTCAGAAAAATCTCAGAGATGACTCCATTCATACTCAACATAATGTACAAATATAATATTTTCTGAAAAAAAAACAAATTGTGTATAAATAACCACATACTGTAGTAATTTCTGGGTCATTCAGCAGAAAATTATCATTGATCATGAAAATTTGTATTAATGTTCATGTCATCTTAGCCCACTATGTTAAGTACGTTTTACTTGTCATGAACAGGCTGCTATATTCGACTAGTAAGTGGAACACGGTGCTTTTGTTCAGCACTTCATACTGTAAGTCTACCTTTTAGTTTTGTGTCTCCACAAATTCTGTTGGCTTTGCAAGAAATTGAAATAGTTTTAAAAGCTTTTGTTTCATTTGAAAATGTAATTTTAATTACAATTATTACAATTAAGATATTTTATACCACATATCAGAAGGCTGTTGGGTTGATTGAAAACTTTTTCTGATCTACAAAGTCCTATGTGTCCTCAATTGAATTAAATCTCTGGCAGTGCTATCTCAGCGGTCTAAAGTGAATTTATAAAGGAATAACACAAACTTTTAAACAACATTATGTATAAATGTATAAATATGTATGTATTATTTCAATATAAATACTTATGGTTTAGACTTCTAAATACAAATGCACTTTTTAATAATGGTTTCCATGTTTTTTTACTGCAAAAATATTTTTGTCAATGTGGAAAAATACAAACACCTTTTTATCTTTTAACCTGTATCTGCACCAAATGCCTTAGAAATTAAGAGAACCTTTTTAAAAAAACGTTACGCCTCTAGATGAGAAAACTTTATACAGTATATGCGGTAAAACAGTAAGCATTTGTATTAAGATTATTTTGTGGGAAATGGTTTGTCTAGGTTTTTAATCCATTGTGTAACCTGTCATGTTTTTGTGGGTTTACAGTTATTGTGAAGGTGAAATAAAAAGTCGTGTTTTCATTTTTTTAAAACATTGCAATTAATTTTGACTCTTTGATATTTTATCCGGGCACAAATTACAATAAACAATATATACATATAATATCAGAATAATATATGTTTTAGTTCCATTATTTAAAGGTGCACATAAGGAGGTTTACGTGGTTGATAATGTGGATCTTTGAAATCTAAGGAAAAATGATAAAATCACGAGAAACGAGTAACACTTTAGAGACAGTCAACATTTACAATATCTTCATTTATTGTAAAAATATTTAACAATAAATGTAAAATGCGTGAGTTTTTTTTTCCACGCCACATCGAAACAGTACATTATATAAGTGCAACTCGTATGCAATATCATGTAGTGCATTTGACCTAATGAATTGCCAACCTATTTGATTAAAAGGGTGGGATACTGGCTGTTAGTCCGAGCACACATAAATTTGCTCAAAAAACGAACCTAGTTTAAATGTAACTAATGTACGGATCTAGAGTACAACCATAAAATGTCAAGTCACAAAATCCAGTGTTAACGTATACACAAATAATTCAGTATCCTTTATGGTCGGCGTGGTCTCTATGACTACAGTTAATAAATGGCGAGAACACGTGTGCAGGTCAGGTGATTAAACAGGAAATAGTTGGTTTTCATCTCGGAATCCTTATGAATAATACTTTGGGGGAAGGAGAAGACATAGGGGACAGTATATGAATGGGGGCTGAGTTGAACGATCTAACGAAATCCTGTTTGTGTTTTTGAAGATGTTTTTCGTCACGTAAATCGCAGGAATCTTAAAAAACCAGGGCTGCCTGCTCCAAACCTCCATGGAGCATAAAAAAATAACTAGGAAGTGAAAGCTAGCATAGCCTATGACTGATTGTGAAAGTCGAGGACGCAGGTGATTTGTAAATGAAGAGAATTTGATTCTTGCTGATTTATTAGCAGAGGTTAAAGACGCGCTGATCAGTCATAAAAGAAACAGAGCAAATGGAACTCAACCCATCTGATTTAAAACCGAAGGGAGGTAAGACGTCTAACCCGTAAGTCATGTACATATTAAAATTAAATCGACGAAAAGCAAATTCCTTCGATTGTCTTTTGTACGACGTTTCCGTGCAAATAGATTTATTATTTTGTGGATACGTGATAAAATACTATTCAAGCAATAATTTGTGTCTTAAACGAAGTACTTCACTAGGTAACGTCTTCTTGAGATTCTCTAGAAATAAGATGGCCTATTTCGTGTGCTGAATTTTAAACCATGTGATGATTTTTGTCGATGACAGTATTATAATTAATAATGTGAATGAGGGTTTCCGAATTTTAATATGTATCAGTATATTCGTCATGCTAGGATTTGGCTTATTCGGTTTAAAGTAGACATTTTATCATAACCTATAAATAATCTAAAACCGTATGACGGGCTAATTGGGGAGAAGAATGAAGAATCTCACTGTTGGTCACACTTTTCCTGTTAGATGGGTTAATATCGGCCCTCCAAAAGAATCCCAGTTATTGGTATACATGTTTTAAAAAGAGACGAAGGTATTTCTTGTCGATTGAGCACGTCTCCTTTTACTTTTCAAACGCACGCAAGGACCACACCAAATACCGACTCTATCTTTAAAGTTATCTTTTAAGTAAATACCATCTGTCGGGTTTTTGATCCACGGAAAAGCTTACTTTTGCTGGATTAAGAACCTTTTCGTTCTCAAAATGACAATTGGTGCTGCCACTATTTCACAGAATACCGGCTATATTGCACAATATACCGACTTCTTGCTTGTTAAAAAATACAGTTAGATCTTAACTTCTTTGTGTTTGAACATTTTAGACACTGAGGTGAAGTATACCGAATACCTGACAGTTATACAAATACGCTGCTTTTACAGAGTATAATTTTAAGATAGTAAATCTCAAACTGGCCGGTTACTGCGCAAACTGAAATATTCTACCGACGCAATAACTATGCTATATAAATGCACATTTTCTTAAACATGAATCGGTGTTATCAAACTAAAATAAATCTGTAAATCTGAAATAAAGCTTTCAATAATAAGGTAGAGCATCTGTATCAGTTGCTAATTACCTAACGCATTGTTCCACCCTTAATCCTGTGTAGGTGTTATATAAAAAAAAGAAATCTAAAAAAATAGAAGAAATTGCACAAATATTGCATTGGAAGTTTGAATATGCGTAGTATGGAGTTTTCATTTGATCTTTGTTAGCTACATGGAACCAGCTTAACAGGTCCAGACGAGCTTACACACACTCCACATCAAAGGCAGCGTCCTGTATGTATTTATAATACATATGCAGCCAGATGTGAAGCTGCTGTATTATAGATATGCAGCACACTTTCTTGACAGTGGTGGTGGAACAAACCTACCAAAGGTGAGAAAACCAGTGTCTTTTATAATTAACTCATTTCTGTACTGGTGCAATCCTGTTCCTCTCAATAGAGACTGCCACGTTGATTGGTGAACTGAAACCAGTTCACCCTCAACTCCTGGATGGAAGAGCAGGTTGTGAGACCTGGAGTGTGGAATTCTCCCCAGATGGCTCTTACTTTGCTTGGTCACTGGGTCATGGAATCGTGAAGCTTCTTCTCTGGCCAATAGAACAGATCTCTGATGTGGGGTATGTGCTTGTAAAGTACTGTGACAACATCCAGCCATTTTCTAGCTGCTCATTCCAAAACAAGGTCCCAGGGAAGCCAAAAGCCTATCCCGACAGGCAACAGCTGTAAGGTTTCAACACCTTGGATGAGATTCCTGTCCTGTCCATTACAGGGCTCACACGGACACAGACACACTCACACCAGGGCCAGGTAAACTATACTATGTATTTGGATTGTGGGAGGAAACCAGAGCAGAGAGAACATGCATACTCCATGCAGAAGGACACCAGGTCCGAAATTGAACCAGATGTCCCAGCACTGCAAGGTAGCAATAGTTACCACTGCACCTCTGTGCCTGCTGTTGCCACAACAACTGGGATGAATTAAAAAAAGTATTAGGTTTCCAAGTTTTTAAATGGGGACGCATTCTTGTCTAGAAGTAGTTTTAAAGTTTGAAACCTCTTCAGAATTTTCCAAGAGCTAATAATTGGATTGTTGTATTCCCCCCCCCCCACCCCCCCCTTTTAACAACACAGGCTTCAGAGGAGTACAGCTTGCAAAAACCACATCTGTAATGCAGCCAGGAAGAGCCATGTTAAGAAAGAGAAGACTTTAGACTGTGGACAGACTGTGTGGAGTTTGGCATTTGGACCACGCTTATCGAAACAAGCAGAAAATCAGAGAGATGATGCGAAGGCTGGACCATCTAGTGGTCTGTCATCAAGCTTGCTCCTTGCCACAGGTCTTAATAATGGAATTATTAAGGTCTGGGAGGTTAAAACAGGTAACGCAACAAGAATCATATTAGACCCTAAAGACAATTAATGTGAAAATATCTTAGGTCTCGCATCTAAGCCCCTGAAAAGTGCATGAGTAAATCTGACAATCAGGTGAAGTGATTCTTAGTACAGAATCTCAGTTAAGACCCATCCCGTGAAACCGATGTAAAGATTAACATAGTTTATCAATGAATCAGGACAGTTATAGTATGTTAAGGAACAAGTAATAGGTTTATTCAATGCTGGGGAAAAAAGAAGAAAGAAAACACAATATTACGGCCGTGGAGCCTTCTTCAGGTGTCACCAGCTACCCACCTGAACTGTTATAGTATGGTGTCTGATAATGTAAAACAGTTCAGTGCAACAGCATGAAAACATTTTTTAGATTGATGTCATTCTTATCCAGTCCTGGAGAAGCTTATAAAATGTGCTGTATTGTTCAGCGAATTTTGAAAACTGCATTGTAAAAAAGTATTGTGAGAACTGTGCACCATGGAGCAATGGATCATGCTACACCATTTTCCTTGAAAGAAATCTCCATGTCCACTAAAGACTGCAAGGCCAGCCTCATTGGAACAAGGATAGCAACCCCTTGTATGTCAACAGGAATGTATTCCAGTGGTCCATTTGTGTGCTAAATTTCATAGCTCCACTCTCTTGGTTTGGTGATAGTTTGGTGATAGCTGGTGAAGACTTATATACCTACCTATATACACAACCAGCTGTTACAAATGCAGTGTGATTTATGCTGTTCGTAATTATACTCTGTTTTTTATTAAGGTCACCTTCTTTTTAACCTAACTGAACACCGGGATGTGGTGAGAGATTTGACCTTTGCTCCCAATGGAAGCCTGATACTTGTTTCTGGTTCACGAGATAAGACACTGCGCATCTGGGACTTAACCAAAGACCGTATGTCAATATGTCTTCATTCACTAATGGAATATTTGTCTCAGACTGTTCTATACATGGGATTTTCAGAGTCGCAACGCCGACGCCCAACAATGTTAATTTTGTAGCATTGCTTTGTTCTAAGCCTTCTTTGAGCTTTGAAACCCTTAAACAACGAGAGGCGATTTGGTTTCTGTCGGTAGCACAGCTCGTTTCAGTTAAATCATGTGGCTTGAGAAAAATTTCTCGTTCACAGCCAGAGAGAGAGAGCCATTTCTTCCATGCACTTCATCTAAGCTACTTAGCACCCAAAATATTGTAAATCAGGTGCTAGAGTGGAAGTTTTACATCTACTCCAAAACAAGTGCTAATTGTTCCGCTTGAAAAGTTAGAGCAACATGATATCCAATTGGGCAATAGAGGAAACGCATTGATTTTACCTGGGGAGTGATTAGTTAGGGCTACCCTTGCGAGAGTACTGCACTCAGATTTATTCAGTATATTGCTCAGGTGCATAAATGGGATCACATTTTTACCCTTTTAAGAAAAACATGTCAGCTGGTTTAAATCATATTATAATCTACCGTATGCGATTGATTGATTTGGAGTTTAGAGCATCTGGGAAATGTCAGTTTTCACAGTTGCCTCCCTTCCTACAGGTAAAAAGGCACATGTGCTGACTGGCCATGGAAATTGGGTGTATAGCTCTTGCATCTCACCTGACTGCAGTATAATTGCTTCTGTTTGTGGACACAACCAAGTGAGTGATTCCCATCCTTTTTGAAAGCTTTTATTCAAAGATGTAATTAAAAAATAATTCCCAAAGATTCTTGGAAATTGCATTTTTGACAAACGTTTTCTACCACAATCAGCAAAAAATATTTATTTTCAGGGCATGGTTAGTTTTCTTTAATGGTGTCTTATTTAATCTACGTTAACCTTTTAGACTTTAAGGTTTTGCTTCCTGAATTAATAAAAGCCTGTTCTGGCTTTTCCCACAAGGTATACTTATGGAGCCTGCGATCATACACCTTCATCCGATACCTGGAGGGCAAGCACTGTCTCATTTCATGTGACTTCTCACCAGACGGAGCTCTGCTGATTACAGCCGCCTTCTCCAAGGAGTTAATACTGTGGGATCCCTACACTGGGGAGGCACTGAGGAAGCTGAGGTAAAAACTCCTATTTCACCTAAGGACTTTTGTCTTTAAATGTCTCTTAAATATGAAACATTCTGTTTTAAATAGGAAAATCATTGTTAATTGTTTAAAACATGAGAGGTGGGCAGTACGTCCACTAATGTATTTTATTTCTTTTATTTAATGTGTCAAAAGTGGATGTAATACTGTAAATGTATATATGCTGCAGTGCAAAAGACTGCAAATAGGGTATATACTGTAGTACGTATTAAATGAATATAAAAAATTTAACCAAGCCTCATTTAACCTTTTTTATAACTTTATTATAAATATGCAGGTCTTTCAGGACCAACTGTTAGCTTAAAATAATTTTTTTTCACTAATAGATGGCCATGGACTTGCTTCTGCATAAAGCAGAGACATCAGAGACCTTTGAATTGTGTGTGTATATTATTTTACGTAATACTTATCTTCATTTGCTTGCTCAATAAGCTCAGCCTCTTCTTTCCCATCTGACTTGAAAGTGTTGGTAATACCATAGCGCTTTGTTGTTTGATGATTTTCAAACAAAATGTATGTGAATGTCTGTACATGAGTCCTTTAATTCAGCTTCAAGAAAAACTAAAGGCAACACTAAGCAAGTTGAAAGTGGAAGAGTTTTTCAAGCTACCCAAAACACTTCCATCTTCCCTATATGTGTCTCAGTCTTAATTTAACGCTTGACATTGTTAGATAACCAAAGGGTAAAAGAAGAAAAAAAGCTTAATCCAGTTTGTGAACATGGAGGGAAAATAAGTAAAGAAATGGAAGCAGCATTGTTGTAATTTTTTTTTGCAGTCATTGCTTCTCTCCGGAGTATTTTCCTGCTCCTCCTGACGTATCGATGAGAGCTGTGCGCTTCTCACCTGAAGGCTTGTACTTTGCCTCAGTTGCTGAGGACAGGTGAGGAATTAAGTGTCTGAGGTAAATTCAGTCCAGAAACAAAACAAGTGAAAAGTAATTGAAAGTAATTAAAGGCTAACCACATTTGCCAAAGTGCACCTGAAAATATTGGTAGTTCTGTAATGGCATTTGGCAGAAAAGCATTACATGATGGAAATCAAACCCTGAACTAAAATAGCAGCTTCTGGTGGACCTCCCTATATTTCCAAAACATGACTCATGACCATTCCATGTTGTTTTTCCCAGTTAAATTCATTTATGGTATATCCATTGAAATTGTCTCCCAAATGCCTAAAACTGTGAAGTGTCAGATGCTGGTAACACTGTAAATAGGAAGTAAGATCCTTAAATCTTATTTACTTAAAGTAAACAATTACTTAATTTAATTACTTAAAGTAATTAATTTCAAAGTTTTTTTTATTTGAAAACTGCAGTTGCTTTTCAATACTGGCGTCATGGTTAATACGACAGTTTCCTCATTTGTGACCTACACACTAGCAATTTGGGTGTTTTAATTGTCTTCCAGGGCTGTGCGGATCTGGGCTCTGGGAATTGACAGTCCAGTAATGGAAAACTGTTACACTGGCGTCCATGTTTCCAATGGGCTGTGCTGCGCATTCCACCCACAAGGTGGCGTTGTCGCAACAGGGTAAATCATACAACTCATGAGTGTCACTAGCGAGTCTGATGGGTATTGGGACATGTAATAACCTGTCCTCTAAATACAGCTGACTAGCTGAGCAGGAGCGCTTGACCAATGTGTTCTGTTTGCAGGACAAGAGATGGTTATGTTCAGTTCTGGAGCACACCAAGGATTGTGCCAAGCCTTCGCCACCTGAGTCGCGTATCCCTTCGGCATTCTGTGTCCACGTACCAGGTGATGGCTCTTCCCATTCCCAACAAAATGAAGGACTTCCTCACGTACAGAACCCTGGCAAGGTGCCATGAAAGTAGTGAACTGCATCACTTGCAGGATGTTGTATCCTTGAATTAACGGGACTGGGTTTCTTTTAAATTTAAAAATTGAGATATTTCCGACGTCCAGTCGATTATGTAATTTTAGATTATATTTTGAGAGATTTATTAATTTAACTTTACATTATTTTTGTATGAACTAATATATGCCAAATCAAATTTTCATTTTTCTTGGTCAATCAGGAGATTTTCTTTCAGAAGAAAGTTCTGATGGGTTGGGCAATACTCCAGATAGGCATCTCAAAAATTGTTTTTGAGGCCTAGACCATCTAAATCCACTGGAAAGGCATAAGTGATAAGCATTAAAAGCGAACAAACACTGGTTTTAATTGAGTAATTTAACACAAATCTTTATATGCTAAAAGTGCTTAACTGGTTGATATCTGAACTTGCATAAAACATTTTTGCCTTTGATATGAGTAACCTAAGCTGAAAACAGAAAACACTATTTAAATTTGGGATTTGCTCAATGTTATTCAGTCAGACATTAAAGTCAGTTCTAGAATAATAAAACAGGGTTGTTTTCAAGCCTTTATTTTCAAAGGTTGTGATACTTTATTTTTTTTGTAATTTATGGTATTCATATCTATATGATTTTATAAATGTATATATCTCAATTGCTCGACTTTCATTCTGTAGTGCTTAGATTTTAACTAATAATTCTTAATGTGTGAGTTTACATTTCTAAAGTCAAGCATACTTGTTTTTGCACATCTGTGACTAGGAAGACTCTTAATGTGCAAATATGATGCTGTCTCTTGTAGTAAATGTATCTTTTCTTCAGTCAGTTGTAATTATTGTTTTTTTTACAGTATCAAGATTTATTGTAGATGTTTAAAACTATACTTTTAATGGTGACTAAAATTAAAGGTTTCCCCCCTTTAAGAATAACTTTGTATTTTATGTGGTTTGGAGTACTACACTCTAATAGTCTCCTGTACAAGGGCTTCTGGTCTAAAAGAGTAATAGAATAAAATAGAAATAAGAGTCTATTCAGAAAAACTAAAATAACCTGAAAAACAACATGATGTCAAATGTCTATTGGGTTTTGTCAAATCCCAAATTACTAACATTTTAGAAGCCCAAGAATACAGAACACAGCATCAGTCATGTATTCTGTATTTCTGAGTCTAGTAAAAACATGAAGTAAACATAGAATGAAGTCATTTTATTACAAAAACATTTTGCTTACACAGTGAAAACATTTCATGTTCCTGAAGTATTTTTCTACATTTAGCACTGAACAAAACAGAATTCTATTTGGGTTAAAGATACAGGATTATTTAACAACTTTCTCTGTAAAGAAAAAATCTGACTTTCAGGGATTAATCATTTAGACAACCCCCATATTAAGCTGCTTTAAAGTAATATCTTATTCAATGGTTACATCTTCAAATTTCCTCCATGTAACACCTGGGTAAAATAAGGTCATGGCTCCAAACACTTTTTCCTGCATAAAATTGGCATGGAAGACTATATTCCTTGATATCTCTTGTTCCCCCATTACTCCTTATCTTTTACTTGCACTTCATTAAAAAGGGAAAAGGCACGGGAAGGGGTGTCAGGCATCACTAACCACAAGATCTCGGGCTGCTTGGAAAGCCGCGATCATAGAGCTCAGCTGAATCTTCTCATTTGTCCCGGAAGCCACCCTGTACCTGAAACAGACCCGAACACACAACTAACATAAACCATGATGGACGTTGTTTCAATCCCTTCTTCAAGACCCAAGCAGTTCTGAGCTAAGAATTAAGACAGCTGCCGAAGAAACAGATCGTTCACAGCAGAACCCACCAGAGTGTACGTTAAGAATTTACTGTTAAGAGCGCCGCTCAATTGGACTCAACAAAAACAAAGCGACGCATGCTGAAGCCCACCCTCTCCCCCTAGCAGAAGCCAAGCCTTGAACTCTGTAAACCTCTCTGAGGCTCATCGCACACTCAGCTCGAAGGGGACGCCCATTGAGAGTTTTACATGCCCGTGGTTAACAGCCAGCAGAAAGCCGACACTTGAAAAGTCAGAACAAAACCTTGAACCGCGAGGAAAAAAAACACGGAGGTGGCCAAGTTCTGTGATGGGGTTGTACAAAACCGAAGACGTCTGACCACAAAATCGTAATTAAGAGTGAAACTAGGTAAAAGCTTGCATTCAAACATACTATGTGCTAAACCGTGTTACGGGATACAAAGAATGACCCATTTAGAAGAAATCTGAAAAAGTAGCTGCACTGTACCATACCATTTCAAGCTGCAACTAAAAAGCACATCTCCACAACCCTGTTTGCATTTCCCTCAATACCAATACTGACTTTTCTTCTAGCTGAATTACTGCCCTGCTGTGACAACTTATACAGTATTTAAACATGCCTCTGACAGAAAGAGAGAAATATTAACATTTGATAGAGGAATTTCGTAAAAGAAAAGGTTACTAGGTTTGTTGGAAGGGGACAGAGAAAACCTCTGGGACATACAGTATCAGCATAACTCAAAGCCCTTTACTTTAAATACTGTTATGTGCCTCATAGTCACTGACAGTATTAATTTCCTGTAGTTGTCCAACATTATTCTATTCTATCCTACACAAGTGTATATTACATTTAAGGACATTATATTTTGTAGAGAATCTCTCCATAGAATGACTGATGATTGCCAACTGGATGAGATCAAAATAAAAGTAAATGAGACTAGGTCTATAACGAACATGACGGAAATGCAAGGCCGTCCAAAGCAGCCTAAATTCTTAAGCAAGGAAAATTAAATACTTGAAGTGGCTACAAATGAATGAAGGCAACAACAGCGTAATAGGCTCACAAAAAATATTTTTAATTACTGCATTACAAATAGCCATGCTGTAGCCAAACTGAATTTAGTTTTCACAACCCATTAAACATTGAGTATAACCATTTATTCCTTTAAGAGCAGTTTGACAATGTGGAGTGCCTTGCTTAAAATTTACTATGCACTCTGTTACAAAACAGTTGTTTCCGTGGATTAATGTGACTAAAAAAAAAAACTTAAGTACTGAATTACTATAACAGGAAATTGCTGTCTGCCCCCAGCAGATCACCAGTACTCTTTTATCTTAAGATTTTGTGCTGTGAAAAATACAGCCTGCTTAAATAAGAAACATCACCCTTAACAGTCACTACTAAATGGGTTACATTCAGTTACATTTCTATTCCATGTAACATGAAAAATTGAGGCAGGTTGCCTTCTTTACATAAGTACAAGGTCAAAAAAACCTCCTGCTACTGTCACGGGTTTAATTCTCCATGTGATAAAGGTGCCTTCCCTCCTGCACAAACCCAAATCCCATTTCCAATATACCAGAGGTCTTCTGGAGGGTCCCAGGGCCACTGTATGTGCAGCATTCAAAGTCTAAAACCAGTCATGACTGTAGAACCTTGAGAAGCTGGTCCAGTCGATCCAGTTAAGCCAGTAACCAGCAGGTTTATCACGTAAGGAGTGGACTTGGAATGATAAAACTCACAGATACACCTGCACTCCAGGACCAGCCAGCCCGGCAATGCATCAGATACAGCAACTGAAAAACTTATTAGCACGTAATGCTGGATCTAATGCAACTAGGGACTCTTTCCGTTTAAGAAAAAAACCATCTCAAAAGTACGTCAACTGTTTAATGTCAGCCCAAGGAAATTTACTCTCCAACAAGAGATTATCACTAGTCTTGCACTGCACCTACGTCTGACTACTTCCTTTATCCTGTCCTGAAAGGTTACTTAAAAAGCGGCCAGTTTCACAACAAAGTGGGAGACGAATGCTTACAGAAGGATTATCTCCAATAGCCATCTGGTGATCTTTTATTGTAACACAGACCTTGTTCTTTCCAAAATCATTTTTTTCCGTTTCTGTTTAAATGTGAAATGACAATCTGACAGGGTTAACGAAAGCACACTTCTGGTAGACCTTTCTCCTAATTTCGAACTTCAAATAAAAAGGATATATAACAGTGTAACCCGACTTGCATTACCAGAGAGGTTTAAATTGAGCTTTAATTAATGGTTTTATTCATTTAAATTAATACAATTTTAGAAAACAATCCTGCATACATGTGTATTCATCTTTAAATATGCATACTATACAGACATGGAATTTCAGCCTTAATATGTCTATACTGTACAGTTGTAGAAATGGAACCAGTAAATGGAACTTTAAAAAAAATACCACATGTAGTTTTCCCCACTTAAAATTTACTTTAAACATGTAGATAAAAAAACTGCACTTACTCGATATCTGCTAATTTGATGAGCAAGCCCATTCTAATGTTGGGAGGAAAGTCAACTAGGGGGAAAACAAAGATATGAATACTGTTAGTTCATTAGAAGTAAAAACAAGAAAGCTAATATTTATTTTACCAATTTACAACACCATGAAACAAATATCTGTAATAAACAAAACAAAATTCCAGTACGTGCTTATTACTGTAAAATAATGGTTTGGGGTTTGTCCATTGAAAACAACCTCCAGTGCACCTGTTGTTTACCAAGAGCCTGCTACATTTGGAAGAGGAAGAGAAAAAAATAAAAATAAGTTTGCCAAAGGGGTTCCATGGAGCCTGTGATAACAATACCAATTAGGAGCATTTTTTAAAACAGACGTTCGGTAAGGTCTGGTAGGTACTTTCAACAGGAGGTGCATTAAAAGTCATTCCAAACCTTAAACACCTTCCAAAAAGCGGTCAAGACAGCTCTCTTAAATGTCTGCTTCAAACGCTCTAAACAGGAAACCTCAGGATATTATCTGCAAGCTGTTTTTCCTGTGCAGTTGTAAGTGCACCCAGCTGCTAAAATGAGGAGTTAAACTGAATTAGGTTGATAAGAGCTCAGAGACAGACCACTACAGGTGTTATCTTTTGTCTAATGGGAATCTCTGTAGGTTATAAAATGCGTCCATGTCTTCCCAGATGATATTTTACTAGTCCTATCTCAAATCTCTTCTTGCTTTGTGTATGGATAAATCTAAATATAGGGTCCCAGTGTGATTCTACCAGTAAAGATGCTTACACTAAGCACATTTGGAGCTGTACGGTTTGGATGTTCACTGCTCTGAGCATGGGTCATGTCACCGGCCAGCTGAGCCCAGAATTCTGCAGGTAGCAGAACACGATTATGGCAGAGTGGACATCACTCAGGGCCTGCTGACTGACACACAGGGCCTCCACTCATTCAACATCAACTCTCAGGCACTGCTGTACTTGCAGTGACAAAAACTGAATGGCCCAGACAACTGGTCATGTTAGACGGATGTGTCTACAGGTCCCCTCTTCGCTCCATGAGTACACTAGTTGTTAACTATGAGCTGACATTTAACACAACTTGTGTAGGTATATGATCAATTATTATTTTTTTTAAATCCTGAACACAGCTCTTGATCGTGATTCATCAGCTGTACCAAGTTCTCCAGTGGGCTGTGCTTTGGCAATCTGCATATCTTCTCTTGTGTTGGAGCTCTATCAGTGTCCCCAGTCAGAGGACACTTCCCATCACAGAGAGAACGCAGAGATTCATCAAGCACTTTTTACACTGAGGTACACCACAGGTGTTCTACGACAAGACACAGCACAAAATAGCTTGCACACCTATGGTAGCATGTGAAATCTTTTTTTCTTTGGCTTCAAACTGGAAAGTTTAATTTAGGCGACAGAAGTTGCAAGTCAGTTCCACAATGTATTTTAAATAGGAACAGCTCTCTGGAGACTCGAAAGTCACAGGAGTACCTTTTTGTGTTTTTTTCTCGCCATTTATACCCACTTTGTTAGGTGTTCTTGTTAATCACTGAAGAAATCATTTTTGGTTTGTACTCCTCACTGTGCCTGGCCAGGTCTAGTAACTGAACTTGAGAAGAATTAACTACTTTCATGCCAATTACATTTCTTCTATATTTTTAAACACCATAGCAATGGTACTTTGAATTAAGAGCGCAACAGGATTAGTTTAATATGCAACAAATACATTTCTCCAAAACCTTGTGTGATTGTACCAAGTAAAGAACACTGTGGTCATAATTAGACCAAACAGTAAAGTGGTGCTTGTGTCTTTCAGTGAAAGGTGACATCAGGCTTCCCATAGGTTCAAGCCATCAGGGTGGTCCTTAATCTTTTTTATTAAGGAGGAGTCTTAACTGTCCGCAGGAAACACAGCCAAAATAAAACTAGTTATATCCTAGCTTAATTCCCCTTTTCACGTTTCATAATTGTAATGCAAACTAATATAATGCAAGAATATTAATAATATATCCTTACAGTACACTGGTTAAGAAAGTGCAGAAAATTACAAACAATCCCAAACACACCATATTTTCCACATCTGGTAGTTACAAAGCATACAGCTGCTTCTCTGTGCAAAGTGTTTCACTGCTAGACTCCGTGCTAATTAGGTTTCCAAGCTATATTGAAACTTGGCAGATCAACAACCAGAGCGGTTACAGATTTGCGCCTCACTTATTTTTACACCCACACTGGGTAATCAACTGCTTGGTCCAACACAGCCCAGCAATGCAATTTAAATTAGAGAAAGGTGATTCTGAATGGACCAGAATGGCCAGCAGATACCACCCCTTTATTTACTAATCTGGTGTCTGTTCTCTGCAGATGACAAATGGCTGCTGTTCGTAAACTGGTCAACAAAGTTACTGCACGTTCAGACGTGGTGGGCGGACCATATCCGTGACCGCCCAAGGACAAAAACTGCAACACAGGTCTCCAGCCTGAACCAAGATGAACCAAGATGGCTGACTGACCACCGGTTTCTTTTCCGAATTCAAACTGCCTCTGTCTCGTTAGAACCAGTTTTTCCACATGTCAACAATGACCAACTCCCCTTCAAATATGCACCTCTCAAGCTGCTGCAATATTTTTTTTTATGTTTACCTGACGAATCATGAGCCACCGGTTAGAACTGATCAAGGCACAGGATGGATTTCAAACACTGCTTAAATGGACTTAAAATATCATGCAATAGTCCTATATTAACAAATATGGCTGCCGGATTGCCATTACACTTTTTGTTGTGATACTGTAAACTTAATCTTTAGACTGCTCATGGTCAAATACAGTGTAAATGTGTGATACTCAAAATTAGCAAGTACCATCCTAGGCACTAGACAGGTGACTAATATAGACACCAAACTGCCTCCATTGATTTACTACAGTATTTCATAGGAAGGACATTTGTTGGTGTATCATGACTTCCATGTTGATTGTCACAATTCTTTTTTCACTACTAACCTCATTAATGCAACATAATTACACCCACTGGTTTACTGCACAGTACTTCATTACAAAAGACCCTGTTTGGAAGTGGTCAAAACATTTATGACATTAATAGTTCATTTTATTTTGCCTATTGCTAAGACTTTTAATTTTTTCCACGATTTTATCCTTGTCGTTTACTTTTTAATGGTGGTGGATTTTAAAAAAAAGTAATCTAGCTGCAGGTACAAAGATCTTTTGCCTTATTAAATTTTCTAACGGCCACCTGAAACAACAAGTGCCTAACCAGATGGAAATTAAAAAATTAAGGGAGACATAAAAGTAAAAGGATAAAAGAAACATTTCATAATTATTGCAGACAAGGCTTTAAGCATTATGTGTGTTTAAAGTCCTGGAAAAACACCTCTTAAACTATCTACAAAACAAAATCTTACAAGGTACTAGCCAAGATATAAAAAAGATCACATAAAAATACGACACTGTAACTATCTACAACATGATAAAGATTCTCAAACAAATCCTTTTTCTCCAACTCAGCTGTTCAGTGGAAATGGTATGCTCTCTAAAGCTTCTAAATGGCTCCTCCTACAATAGGAACATCCTGTTGTCATGGAAACCGCAAAGAGTCTCCAGGGAAACCAGTGCAAGAAAACATCCAGCATCACCATGCAGATGGTGTCAAATTCAGGCCTAGGTCTCAACTGGGTATTACACTGCGGTCTGCTTTAACACAACTATCAGCTGCATTCTGCTGAATGTACCCTGGAGGCTTGATTTTTTTTTTACTTAAATATCTTGCTGCCCTATAGGCTTTGGTTAAGGAAGAGCAAGAACAACATTTAAATATTTCTTAAATATACTGTATACGGTTTGAAACAAATACAGCTGTTTTAGTGGGAGCAAAAGAATAATCCTATGTTTTTGCAGGGTTTTTTCTTAAACCCACTGAATAAAACCCCTAACAACATTATTTTGTTAACCTCAGTCCATGTCAAAAACAAGGTAAAAATATAGCCAGGAACCTAAAGGCCTGCAAAATGTGGAAATATTTCATCAAGCACCATGGCATTACAGCTGAAAATAACCCCATATGGTTCTGTTCCACTGGAAAAAGCTAGAGTTAGTTATAGTTCACCAGTTTTAATCAAATATTTTTCTATAATTCACTTTTCAGGAGCTCCCATAATTCACCTCATTGAGTGAGGAAAGTGTAATGTATAGTAGGAAGACTAACAGCCATGAAGTCTGAATTATGAACATCTACCAAGATCTGACTTACCTCTATGTATCAAAAGGTGGATCTCTGTCAGGATATCATGCAGGGCCAACCCCTTGAGTGTTTTAAGGCCCATGATGTCTTTGATCCGCAGATAAGGAACATAACTGTCATTTTAGAATATACACAAACTAATACAAGGCAAAAAAAGAAAATATTCTTAATATTAGATGTTAATTTATGTATACTGTCATTATATACAGTGCAAACTGCTAAGATATGCTAATACTGGCACCTTCACTTAAACAATTATTGTAAATATACACACAATATCAGGAAGGCATTAAACCTCTACGCATGAACTCAACTCTAAAAAGCAAGACATCAGCACTTCCTCATGGCATACATGATGTGCCATTTAAATTCAAAGGTATAGCCATTGTGAACTACCAGGGGCTCGCTACTTGCTTGATTTTGAAGCCCAGTGATGGACTAACACTGCACTTTACCGAGACAGACACCCCCTCTGTGGGTCACGAAGTTAGAAAAATAGATGTTATTATCCTCCCAGAAAACATTCAGGACTGGATTAAGTCAAAACTCTGATCCACATGCCAACTACAAATTCCAAACCTAATACTTAAATCAAGGAGCCTCTGGCCAAAACGAAACCACCACAAATACCAAGTTTGGAATTTGCAACCTGATTTAATCTGGCTCTCTGACAATAAAGTACTGTATTTAGAAACAAAGTTCTATGCAATATGTTGCTATAACACAAGTGTAAAGCTATGCATCTATCAGCTAGCACACGTCTCTCATACTGCAGAAAGTGCTCTAGAACAAGAAGTGAAAAGATACGTTTGTACGCTGTGGTAAAGTCCTTATTGAGGGACCAGTCCAGGATGTTGGCAATGTCTGACTTCAGCGGGTGACCAGTACAGGTGTAGACTGTTTCTTCAGTTACCTTCGCATAGGCCATACTGGTGCTCTGTTTGAAAACACATTCAGAAAAGGTCTTTAGCAAAAAGAGTAATAAACACAAATGTGTGCCTTTTGACAACAGACTTGAATACTCAACCTGTAAGATGTTTAAAGATCGCCTCATGTCTCCTGTAGATAACGTCACAATAGCTTTCAGTCCATCGGGTGTTATGTCAACTCTGAAATGAACATGACAAAAAACATCACTGCTTTAGGCTGCTAAGGAGGATTAATAAAGGCATGATATGGAATTATGGACTCATTTACACCATTAACTCCACAGAAGATGGCTGGCCTGAAATCTCACAAAAACATTTCCCACAAGATGAGCTCAGTGTTGTAAAAGGGCACGTGGTGAACACAATCGTGCTCCGCTATTGTACTCACTTCTCCTGCTGGATGACATACTCCAGTCTGGGGACCATCTGCTCCTGAGAAAGTGGGCCGAAACGGAACCGGGTGCATCGAGACTGCAGAGCAGGGATGATCTTGGACAAGTAATTACAAATCAAACAAAACCGCGTGTTTTCCGTGAACTTCTCAATCACTGCCAGGGGACAGACAGACAGAAAGAAAGAAAAGAATTGACCTGCAGCTTAATAAAACAAAACTCACAACATGCTTAGAATATGCCAGCATTGTTTTCTCATGACAAGGTAAGGCTATCTTTGGAAGTGAGATCATTATTTGTTATGCTGTTGGCTGGTACCATAGACTGCAGAAATTACTCCAAGTCCTTGGACATTTGGCGCACAGTGTGAAGGATAGCAAAACAGATGGCTACCTCTTCTCAAAGCGTTCTGGGCGTCCTGGGTCATAGCGTCTGCTTCATCCAATATAACCAACTTAAACCCTTTCCTAAAAAGTGATAACACAGAACAGACATTTAGAGATGTTTTTCTTTCATACAAGAGGTTTACTACGGTTCTGAACGTGACAAAAGACTGTAACTGAACAGTATGTTTAGTTGCACTGTTTATACTGCTACAATAGGTACACATATATAGTGCACAGGCTGATGCCAAATACTATCAAATTCTTACTTTCCCATATTATAAAACAATTTTAAGGCAGAGCAATTGTATCTATTCAGAACATATGCCTTGTCACTTCAAGCATCTTCAAAATTTGAAGCACCATCCCAAATCCTGCCTATGAGTTGTATGTCAGCTGGAATGAGAGCATTCCTGTGGTTTTCAAAGGCCTATACAAAACAATGATAGGCATTTTACAGTGTTAGACAATGGTAAAACTTCAAAACAAATCTGACCTGTACAAATGCTCTTCTTTTCAGAAATGGGATTGTGCACTCACTTTTGTCGTACACTATTAATAATTAATGAAACACACTACATGTAACTGACAAAATAAATAACAGGCTTCTCACTTAAAGATGGTTCTAGTGCTGGAAAAACTCAGAATGGGTCCTCGGACAACATCAATGCCTCTGTCATCAGAAGCATTCAGCTAAACAAAAATAAGGACACTTGTAAGTTCATGGCTTCCGACACTAGGTTTGTAACACCATATAATCACACAAAGTATTCCATTATATACTATATGTTATAACACATTGATACTACCAATCTGATATTGTACTGCTCATTCATTTGTAGCGGTGGTTCGTACTAAAAGTTTCCATAAATTATCAATGAGCATAGCACATGGTTGCTCCACTTAAGTCATTCAGAGCTCAGCTAACAAAAACACAAAAATCAGAAGACTGTACGGGACAATCAGCATGATGGACACCACAGCTCTAGAGCATATAGGTCTGGTTAAATAGACACGGTATGTTTAAGCAATAATTGCAACAATGAGACAGCTACAGCCAATGAACACTGACTGACATTCAGATACCATGTTCTGCATAGAGACTGCTAGGTTTGACTGTCCAATGTTTTGTGCAGTGAGTGGCTCAAGTACCTCTAAGACCATGGAGCTGAATTCTTTATCCTTATAGAGCTGTTTGGCACAGGCCAGGATGGTGGAGGTCTTCCCTGTCCCTGGAGGGCCGTAGAAGAGGAGATGTGGCAGCCGATCTTCACTAATAAATTTCTGGACTAAAAAAAAAAGATAACCTGGAGCAAATGCCTTAGAAAAACAGAAACCGTAAAACACTGACATTTCTAAAACCATCTCTCTAATGGTTAACTTAATACCTAACTGTAGTTTCTGTCAATGTCATGAATTTAATAGGTGAAACAAAGAGGCCACTGAACTCACAGGTTGTCAACATTTACATCCAGTACAGCAGTAGGGAATAAATAGTACGCTATACCTAAAGGTGAGGCTTTTCAAAAACCTGAGCTCAACATGGGAAAAAATATGAAAAGTTAGGAGGCAGATGACCTGTCGCAGCGCCTATTTGTCAACACAAACCACAACAGAAATAGCTCATGAAGTTCAACACCAGCTGAAGGATGCAGATATCTGGAAGTGTAGAATAAAACGTTATAAAACGGTAATTCAAACCACAGCGTTGATGATAAGGGGGGCAAAAACACACATACTTGTACTGAGGATGTCCTGATGGGATATCAGATCGTCTAGGGTCTGTGGCCTGTATTTCTCAACCCTGAAAGACAACAATCGTGAGCCCTGCAATAGCAACCTGCACATCAACAGAAACATTTTTACCGTCCGTTGAATTTTTACCTTCTAGTAACGAACACAGACTTGCGGATCGGCATCAACGGTATGTGGCCGGCATGGCTGTACTGTGTGTCAGGAACTCGAACACTAGACTTCCCATTAAAACTGACCTGACAGCTGACCGGCAATATGCAGTGTCGACTATAGCATGTGATGTAACGCACAATTGGAAGTTATGTCTACACTAATTTTACACTGCATTGTCGCTTTTTTAATTAGGTCTTTATTCTCCATCGAAACCAGGCATGGAAAGCAAGAAGAAAGAATAATGAATCTGTATAATTATCTGATTTCACAGTAGGGCATGAGTAATTGGTGCGATATAATGCCGTGATTAAGTACCAAAAGTGCAGTTCTCGACTTCGTACACTCCAAAGAAGGGATTCTCCAAATTATCTGATGTGACTGACAATCGTACATTTTTGGATTGTGATCGCTAGATGTGTTCAGCATTTTTTTAAACACAGAACCAGTAACGAACACAATGATCAGGCAAGGTAAATTAGCTCAACTAGGTGGACTTACCATGGTAAGTTTCTTGACTGTAACGGCGTCTTACTGGTTGAAGCCATGTTTTAAAATAAATGTTATATAACTAATACTGAACACATTAACCCTATATTTCATACATTCTCTGCAGTTGGCGCGCTTTACTACGTAAATTTGTGTATACACGCCTTTCTGGCTGCTGGACAAAGTGCTTTACGGCAATACATTGTCCAGTCAGATCCGAACTTTGAGACGAAGAGGCGGCGCTCACTCTAATGGAAAGTGTTGGTAACCTAGCAATTGTAACGTAAAATGGTTGTCGGCGCCCAGTTAGACGACAGCGTCGTACTAAGCTTTTTTTCTGTCTGTTGCTCTTCCAGAGTACTATAAAGATATTTCTTTAAATTGTTTAAAGAACACTCTTTATTTTTGCAACATTACATTGTCTAGTTATAAAAATGACAAATCATCCTAGAAATGTTGTGCATCCAAAAATGGGTGATTATAAAATAAAAATAAATAGCACAGCTTGTTATGGAAGCGTTAACGTGCATGCGTTAAGCAGAAGGGATTTAATCATAAAACCAACAATATCCTCAGAAGAAGTCAAAATCCGTCCTACCAGATTAAATACAGAAAACTCGTGCGAAGCAAATCCCCCACCGATAATAATAAAATCGTATTTTTGATCCCTTTTCCACATCTCTTTGTTTCTAAAGAGTAAGTAAAGGCTTTTGACACAACCCCCCTCCCCTAAACCCAATCCGCCCCTGTAGTTAATTTCTCCACTTATTCCTCAGTGCAACATAACTGAATATAGTTAGAATTTTACAGTGGCTTTGCTTAATGACCTTGACACATAGTGCTTTGTTTAATTTAATACACGGTTTCAGATTAAAATGTTAATACAATATTTTATCTTATTTTTTATTTTAAAATTGTATTTTATATTTACCAGTGAATAATAATAAAAGAGATTAAGTTCCTTGCTGCTTTGTAAGACAATGCCTCACAAAAAGGTTCTTAGGTTCTGAGATGAGCTATTCTATTTTATCTTTTTCCAAGGGGGGGTTGTCTCAGTTGTACATTCATAATAAGTGTGGTTTCGCCTCACTCTGCAGGTGACAGTGATAAAATGTCAAAAGAATTTATAGCAGGAATAAAGCTCCCTCATTTGGAGTGACATGTTTATTTTGTGTCCCAAAATGTTTATTCCTCCTATCCTTCAAATACGAACTGTCGCACTGTGTCCACTGAAAAGGGAACAATACTGCACCTGTCCTAAACTGTGTTCTGTAGCCTCAATCACACAAGTTTGGCATCTGTTCTACAAAAAAACACAAATGATCTATTATCTTAACACAGCTGGGAATGACAAAAGCAGGCTCATTTTGGGTGAAAAAAACAATGTATCATTATTATTCATTTATCCAGAACAACTTGCATTTGTACAGGTAGACATTTTACTGAAGCTTCTCCCCAATCCATTTTCTAACCACTCCTTCCAATTCAGGATCGTGAGGGATGAGAAGCACTGGACGGGACACCAGTTTCCCAAAAAGCCAATTAACCTACCAGTATGTTTTTGGACAGTAGGAGGAAACCCACACGAACCCAGGACCCTAGCACTGCACTGTGCCAGTGTGCAGCTGAAATACGTAACTCAAAGGTGCAATGGAAATACTCCTGGGATATGAACCTACAACACTCCAGTTATGAATCCTAAACACTACTCCTCACTGCTGCACAATGGAATGCCAACACACAACATTACATACTCTATGCTTATTTGTTTTCTTAAAATAAGACATTTTCCTAGGGTTAACACTGTTTATATACGATTTTGTCTTTGTAGCCAATACTTGTATCACATTCTCTATTTTCCCTGTAGTTTTACCAGTATTTGTTTCCCTCTCATAACGTTTCATGTACATATAGAAGTGAATCATTTTGAAGTTCATCAAAATAAACGTGACACCTAGTTTTTCAATCTAATCAACAGAACCACATTCACAGAACAAAAACTCAAGTCCAATCAGTTCTGTAGCCATAATGAGGTCAATATCAATTACCACTGTAGTATGAAGTGATGTTTAATTACTATTATTTTCCAAGACGTAATGACAGCGTGGAGAGATGCCACTTCACGCTTTGTAAATGCGTCCAAATTAATTTTGATCTAGACTATCTAGCTAAATATGTTGCTACAGTATGTATTAAGCCGCCACAATATATTTAAATTCTTAATGGCAAATCGATATAACTACCACACTAACATTTCAAATATATCACCGTAGGTATTCAGCTGGATGTGTTATGTCAAAACATCTAAAAGAGAGCAAACAAGAGTTTAAAACAAGAAACTTCACTGGATATACAGTAGGTGGAAAAGCAGAATTAAAAAAAAACACCGGATTGATTACATTAATAAGGTTGCGTGCAAATGAACTTGACGTCTCTCCTCGGAGACAGAAGTATGTGCCAATAAAACTATTCTTGTCCACAAAAAAAAATCACTTGACAACTACAGTAAATTTAGCTCAAAGGTTGGAGAGTTGAAACAGTGAGCTCACTGCGATGAGGGAAGCCTTATATCTCGCGAGAACCCCGCTCCTCTCCAAACTCGCTCGGTGCTGCTGCCTCTGTCGCCGTTGCTGCTATTGCTGTGGATTTGATTGACAGGCAACATGTCGGTGTGGAAGCAGAGAGCCGGGATGCAGCTGTTGGCACGAGAGACAGAGAGCACCTGCACACAGTGCTTACACCAATAATATTAAAACGCCGTCTCGTCTCTGTCCATTGTGCAATGCTGAGCTAAATACTTACTCTTACTTATTTAAGCGTCCAAATACTCCATGGAGCCAGCTGAAGCAGACGCTCTGTTTTAAATGTATTTCTCCTGAATTTCTGTTATATTGTGTCTGACTGAGCCCTCAACATCAGTACCGCTGCCTACCTGAACTGCTCTGATGAAACCAAGCAGTTCCACTTCGGCAGGAGATAAAAAAGGAAGACTACAATGGAGTCGCCGTCAAAATAATATCTTTTTAAACAACAGCAACAACAAAAAACCATTTTGATTAATAAAATTAGTTTAATTTAATTTATTTCGGATTTAATTTATTTGGGAATTCTTACTGCATTTTTTAATCATTGGTGGGATTTTTTTTTTCTCCCATCCGATTCTTTTGTAATTCCGACAAAATAAAACCAGAGTTAGACAAGGGGATCCGTGCTCGCAAACTATGGATGAGGAAAATATGACAAAAAGCGAAGAGCATCATTTGAGTTTGCAAAAAGCCTTGCAGCAGTGCGAACTGGTGCAAAATATGATAGACATCAGCATCTCCAGTTTGGAGGGGCTGAGGACCAAATGTGCCACATCCAACGACTTGACACAAAAAGAAATAAGAACCCTGGAGGTAAGCTTGAAATTAACTCGTGTTTTCATTATTATTGCAACCAAATTCGTGCGCATTGAAGACAGGAGGTGCTTCTGCTTATTCATTTCTTCATTTGCTGTTTTTCCCAGTAAAATAGTTCAGTGGATGGCTTTTAAAATCCCGGTTTTCGCCCTTTTGTGCCGATATTTGTTTATTTATCTGGGTTGGCGTGCAGTGTAATAAATTAAGAAGCTGCAGTCAGCCGATATGAGCTTGCGCATTCTGCAGGTGGTGGAGAAAGGTGGATCGAGCGTTTTATTTCTAAGCAGATTTTCTCTGCAAAACGCTGAGGCCTGAATTGTTTCTAAGCATTTTGCAACACAGACGACCGCATTACCTCGGCTGTACAGTACGATCTGTGGCAGCGATCCCAGTACAGCGACGCTTTTTTTTCATTTGTATTTCTTTTGAAAGGTTTGATTTTTTTTAAATGGTCGTTGACCCATTTGTAGCAAATGAGAGGGAATCCTAACAAAAACCCAGCGTTGCGTAATAGATGTGGCTACTGGTCGTGTGTTTATAATGTTGAAGCTCTGTGTTTCGTGAAAGCTTTGTAAATATTAAAGGAGTGATGCATTCATATTACACATGTTCTTGTCTGTTATTTAAACCTGCGATTCCCTAATGGCCACGTCTGTAGGCGGGGAATTTTAAAACATTCACAGGATTGAAGCGGGGTCGTGTGTCTCTGTACTTGGAGTGCATTTGTTTTACCACAGCTGGACAAAAATGAGGAAAAAAAACATTCTTGTATTTTTTTTAAACGCAACAGATATTTTAATGATCAATACAATGTGAAATATTTCTTAATATTTTTAGTTTTTTTACCGACCCCCTCTTGTACGCAAGATACAGGTTTTGCCGTTTTCAGATGTAGCAGAGGGGAGTACCCTCCCACAGGCCCCGTTTAATCAATGCCCTGGAAATGTAAATAACTTTAAATAACTTATTTTCATGCACACTCCGAACTTTTTAGCTCATGTTCATCATAAATGATACTCACAATATGTGACATTCAGTAGGATTCGTATTCATGTTGTAAACTACATGGCTGACTTGGTTTACACAAATACGTTTCTGAAGTAATACTAAGTAAGTTATGAAGCGTATAAACTCATCTCTTTTTATGATTTTCCCCGAATTATTTAAAAAAACGTTTAATTGGACAGAGTATTTGCTAATGTAGTCAGAATACAGTTCTAAAGTAATGGTACAGACTCACTCTGGTTGTGGTCCAGTTTTGGGGTATTAATTTAAGTACAGTAGTTATCATCTTAACTGTACCGATTTATCAAGGATATTCATCTATGGAAGAAGTTCAACTTCAACAGCTGGATTGTGATTCTCAAAGTTTGCAGTTGCGCACATGCCATTAACTTATTTGGCTGCATTTCCACCCATTTTCACATCTACATCTACAGCAGGTATTTATTACTCAGTCTGGGTGCAGTACCTTGATCAAGGCTACAACCATAGTGCCCGGCCTGGGATTTGAACCCACAATGTTCCAGTGTCAAATACAGAGTCCTAACCAATACTCCTCACGGTATGCACTAATTATTTGTAGTTTACGCAACATCCACTGTTACTGTATTTGTGTTATCAAAGATAAAACGTATAAGAATATATTCAGTGAAGGTATACGTTTCCAGGGTGTTTTTTCCTTGTTTACAGCTTATTAATGTACTTTTAAGATGTTATTATGGGAATTATGAAACAAAGGGGAGGAAGATGGTATAAAGGAAAGTGAAATCACTGGAATTTTACAGTATGCGTCCTTTCTTGCTTGCTTTTTTCTTCATGCTGATTTCAGATGGCAGAAGTTACCTGTTTGTGAGTTTTCTCCTGGTACATGTACAAGTTTTAGTGTTTAAGTTGCACAGTGAGGTTGTTCACTGTATTGCTTTGTGCTTTAGTTATGTAACACCTTTATTTTAGTTAATACCTTATAGTTAATCACACTAAACTCTACTGCTTTGTGTAGTTTGCACAGAATGCTTAGTATATAACAATAGTTTGTAGTTTGCACAGATATTATAAGAGCTTTTTTTCACTGTAGCTGATTATTTCTTGTAGAAACATTAAAAGAAAAGAGCCTTTGACTATATTTTTATAGTAGCAACAATAGCAGTATTAGAAACTGAAAAGCTAAGGGAAGGATTGAGGCTAACAAAGCAACAAATGAGAACTAAAAAATTCAAGAAAGTTTAGATCTGTTCGCAAAACAGGTAGCTCAATGTTCAAAATATGAACATGACAAAATCTATATTAGTCACAGAGTCACAAATCTGGGCCCTGATATCCACATTTAAGAAGGGTTTTAATGGTCTCTTAATTTTAAAAAACTTAACTTCCGAACTGAGGAAAAGTGTTACATTGTTCCAGATAACAGAGAAATTCGCACACTTTGACACCCATTCACTTGTCTTAAACTGTTCATTTTTCTTAGGAAAGTCCAACTGTCCTCGTGACTCTACAGAACCTGGATTGGGCACCCAAAGGTCCAACACAATGTTGGTGAAAGCATAAAGCAATATGTTGTATTTCTTAAGCTACTATACGATAAAAGGTATCTTAATTGTTTTGAAACAGGATGCGGATTTCTATTTTTCTGTGTGTTTGTGTTGAAGTGAAACCAGCCTTTTGAAACTTACCATGTGGAGAATCAGGTTGTTACATGAAAGGCAGGATTCATTGTGCTACAGCGATAAAGATGGTGCCGGGACATCATGACAATGGTTCCTTCTAAATTGCTGGTGTTAAATTGTGTGTGCTATAATGTCAATTTAAGAATGGTTACAAGTGAGAGGAGTCCATTTGGTTCCTAGAAGCTAATCAATCTGAAGACCTCATTCAGCTGTTTCTTGAAAGAAGCCAGGGTCTTGACTTCAAGAACAAAGCTGGCTAGCTTATTGCAGATCCCCCCTTTGTGTAAAAAAATACAGTACCTCACGTGCACAGTTTCAAAATACACAGCCCTGTAGTTTCCACCTATGTCTTCCAGTTTGCATATTGTAAATGAGAATACTGAAGTGTATATTAGCAGTGCCCCAGCTAGGATTTGAACCCACAGTCTCCTAGGTTACACATCTAAGGTGCCGGCCACTAAACCACACTGCTGTTGACAATGTAGGGAGGAATAATGAATACTGCTGAATGGCACAAGCCTTTTAGAGTCCCCTGCCCATGAGATATACTTTAAGATATACTTTTCACAGTAGAAGAAAACACATTTATTATTATAGAGCTTTTAGACTTCAGCCTGTTGTAGTGATTGTTGGCAAACAATTGTTCAGCTATAGGGTCTTGACCATGTATATGTAGACTTTATTGAAGCCATAACTTGTGCTACCAAAGTTAAAACGTACAAGAAAATATATATTTTCAGTGAAGGTATAAAGCTTCTACTTACTTTCCCGTGATTCAAAGTGGTGTTGAATTTAGGATTTCTCATCATCAGTCCATCAAGGCTTTCTTGTGTTTCCTTTCACAGTCCTTAAACATACTAGTAGGTTAAATGGCTTCTGGGAAGATTGGCCCTAGGTGTGAGAGACTGTGTTTTGTCCAGAGATGGACTGGTGTCCTGTCCAGGGTGTACCCTGCCTACCAGCGTCACCAGTTGATAAGCCTAAAGTATGATTACTCACAACAAACATTTGGGGGAGCAGAAATCTTTAGACGATCCTATGTTTTATTCCCATTTTATTTCTTATACATACTGTAACAGAGCCACTGTTGAGTTTTCATTTTGGAGAAGCAATAGGATGGTGATTTGAGTTAGGGGGCAGACCTGTGTCAAGCGGGTGTCAAGGGAAAAAAAGAAGATTGCATCCCTGAGTCTAAAAATACACACGAGGAATTGATCTGTGCTTTCTGTTGCATTCTGTTACAATTATACATCTAAATCTATGAACCAAACGATTAGTGTAAAGTACAATAAACAGATGGACTGCGGACCTAGATCACACTTGTCATACCAAAGCATGTGCTCAACTTCTCTCAGCTTAGATTTTAAATGGAAATAAAATGTCATTGGTTGCTACATACGAACTTTTTTAATAATTTAAAAATGCTTATGTGAGAAAAGATGAGCCAAGTTAGTCCAAGAGCCAAACAGATCTGGCACTGCCCCAGTTCCAAGACATTTGTGTTTGTCCTGAGGTCCAGGGTACTCTGCATATGTCATCCAGCTTGCACCAATGATCTAATGATTGCCAGTGACTGCAACAAGCCTCCCTTGGGAATTTCTCCCTCGAAAAGACAAAACCGTCCAAACATGGTCCCACAATGGAGGTGCAAGATGAGTCTCTGAGCCTCTACAGACATCATCCTGCAAGTCACATAAAATCAAGTTGTAGTCTGCGTAATTAAGTGTTTATAAGGCAGGATGTCAGGAAGGTATGACTGGGAGCCCTGTCTGCCCTCTCATCTTTGTGGTGTTTTAATTTTTTTTGTGAGTTTGAATGTGTTATCTGTGAGATGGCATTGTTGTAATGGTCCTATCTCTACTGCCATTCTCACAAATGGAAAGGTGCTTTTGAGCTGTTTATGGACCTTACTGGTAGAGCTTTTAATGGCCAAAGAAAATGGTTTAAACAAATTGTACTTACTTCAATTAAGCTGTGGTGTATGCAGAACTGTAAAGGGAGGCATCAACGTGTAATTATCTCTGAGCACAATCTTGACAAGGTTGGTCATGCAACTGTACAGGCATTTCCTATTGAAACGTAACTACTGTAAATGTATTTTATAGGAAATCAAGCTTGCTGTTTTCTCTTTGCGGATGACTGGAGATATGCTTGGTTACATTTGTGAAATGATGAGCAGACACCGCAACTTTGGTTGGCTGGTGGTTTCCTATGTGTATGATTTCACTTTAAGCTTCTGTTTTGAGTCTTTAAATTGTTAAGAGATAAAAAGAAAAGTCTTGTCTGGTTGTGTTTTCTGCTTGGTTTTCTGGTTGAGACCCTGCAATGCTC